CAAGCAATCTCTATTTGTTTCCGCCTACTCGACTGCAATATGCCAATTTAGTTGGTATAAGCAAATTTCTAACTAGTGAAGTGAAGAGGACCATATCTGTGACAAATTCTCACAGATGACGCTACGGTATCTCATTTCATCTCGGATGATTTTCTAGACGCGAGAACGCAATATTAGGTAGACCATCTTCAGAAAGAATACGTTAATCAGTGATAGCAGATAACGAAATACTCACCCCCCCCTTGCAGGGGCAGGGTCTAATTAGAAGGTGGTGTCATACCTGACGGGTTTGGATCAAAGAGTGTTCCATCCAGGTAGTGTAGAATAATTGGTTTAAAAAACAGAACTACTGAGTTATACTTTATATTTTCTATGATTGAAAAATTTTATAGGCCAAATGGTTTAGATAACATAATTTTTTTTCAGAGTAGGAGAAGATCAATCTGGGAAATTTGATCAAGTCGTAAGAGAAGGATGGCTCAACCAGCTAAGAATTTTGCTAAATGACCAGGAGAGAATAATTCAACAAGAGAGGTAGTATTAGTAGACATTTATTTACTCCATTATATAAGAACAATAACAACATAGAATGGGTAAATAAATGTTTCAATCCATAGAAGGACAATGCCGGTACATGGATCAGTCGTATGTTGGAATGTGTTCCAAAATCAAAACAAAGAAGATAACAGAAGCTTAAAAAAGCTTATATCAAAGAGGTGTATATGTAGAAGATGCTAATTTTTAAGGAATATTTGATATGAATTCAATAATGTGTTGTCTTCCTATTGGGCGTATCCACTCTGATTTCTTTTTGAGATTATGTGTATTTCGAAATTGTTTTAAGTCGTTGGATACGTGTTCATATAATTGTGGAGTTAAACAGAGAAAAGATCACTCCATTATGGTTTTATGAGGTTTATATCGAGCATCACGGCAATGTGTGATTTTATCGCGCTCACTGACAACTTTGTGATAATGGCTGATAGTATGTAAAAAATGAAGTTGCTGGATATAATTTTGTTTTGTTATATAAATCATTTGTTGAATATAATTTTGGTTTTCCGAACATAATTTTTAAGTATGTCGTTTCAAGTACACTGGCCATGCTAATATACCATACCTTAGGTGCGGCTCAATTAAGGCATGATATACAGTAGGTATAATTTTCTGTCAATATGCCTGTGAGTAGATACATAAACCGACTTGCTTTTTTCAATTTTTAGTATCTCATGCGTCTTGCAGGAATTTGAGAGCTCTATCGGACTGGCGTTTCAAAAACAAACAGCAAGCTCCGAAGGTTTTCTCCGAAGATGCTGATAATCACTTAGTACCTACAGCACCATATGCAATAAACAAAGATTTTTTGAAAATGCCTACAAGAGAACAGTTGGCCGCACAGTTGAACGAATCGCTCAAAGACAAAAGACCCTCCAGGTAAGCATCTAATATACTTAGGGCTTAAAAGTGTCGTAATGAAGGCTTTTCCCTGTGCAGTGCTTGAGGACCGCTAGTAGTTCGTTTTGCAGCGAGATCTCAAGTAACTCAAAAAACAACTCTGAGATTGGTGCGTTCTGTTTTATTGTGCGTTTCAAGACGTTTCTCATAATTGCCCTTAAAAATGGCAGTAAGGTAGGTTTACTTTGCACTTCACACTTAACGGTGTCCTCAGTAAAAAAGTTACCCGCAAGGTTTTGCAGAACAGAACCTTGCGAACCATCACTAACGCACCATGGTATGTCTCTAACGAGACCCTCCACAGAGACCTCGACATCCCTTACCTATGGGAAAGCTACGTTATAGTCAACTACAGCAACCCTCTGTTGCGTGAGTCAGTAGACTACACAGTCGAGCAAGTTCGCAAGCACACAAGACCGCGGCTCGCACTGTGATCAAAATCAAATCGTGCAATTCTAGATCCAACCAAATTTACGATTTTTACCACACACACCTTCCTAAATTAATTTGTGGATTAATTTAAAATTATCGAATACCAGTTAACAATAGCAAGGCATCCCTTTAACCGGCGCACTTCACCCTCTTTGCTATTCCCCCATCCTTTCTTCTTCCTTTCTTTCTCCCTGACTTCGTTTGGTATCTGAGCAACCAGACCTGACAGAACTACTGACCTACGATCAAAATGGAGTTACACAATAATTCGAGTAGTCAAAGCAACAATGCTTAAGCTATTTCAAATGATTTACTTCTTTTCTTTGCTCTATTTCTTCCTTCCTTTCTTTTTCCCTTTTCCCCTTAGACATGTTTGGTATCTTGGTAGCCAGACCTGACAGACTATCAGACCGACGAGACTTTTAACAAAGAGCGAAGGTCCCACGGACCGCTCTGACGGACAATGACGAATAGAAGAAGAAGTTACCCGCCAACATGTACTACGGGTGAAGTCAGTCGAACAGGCGCAATCGATAGAACCGAAGTCTCCATCCATTTGACGATGTTGCGATCTATAAGCTTCTCCCGTGTCCTACAGATAGTACCGACCATACGATGTTGCTAAGCCTCGCCAGTCAGCGGTCGACCCATACACAGATATATCTTACCTACCTTCCTTGCATTACGTGCGACGCCTGTATTGAAAATATTTCGCTATTTTGTCAGAAGCGGCATAGTGCCAGTCATGTAAGGTACACTTAAGAAGAGTGGCACGCTCGCCGGTAAAGCCAGAGAGCTGACCTGCGCGTATTGAAAATACTTCTCTATCGTTCTAAGTTTTAAGGGCAAATGTACGAGGAAAACTATGTCTAACAGATCAGTAGAATTATCGGGGATTAGAAGTACATATATAAATATACTAACACAAAAAAATAATATTTACCCTCCGCCATCCCCTACAACTCCCACTTTTTAACCCCTACAATTTTTCAGAAACGAAACGATTTTTCTTTTTCTGTTTTTTGCATGTATCTGCGCAGCCACTGCATCTATCTTCAAAAACTACAAACATTTTCATACTTCCCATAGCGATAACCTTGTGAGAAAATTCCATCAAAATCCGAGCCGTACTTTCCAAATTACAGTGGGTCACGGATTAGCAGGCAGATAGACAAACCGACAAAAATGAGTTACATGGAATTTCGTGATGTATGTCACGCAACATAAAAAAAAACATGTCATTTTTGAAGTTATGAAAATGACAATACGTTAGTTTGTTAATTAATATATTTTACATCCTGATGTATACCTGCAACATAATTTCCTGAGATTGTTTTTAGATCTGAAATAGAGCAAAACTCCCACAACTCAAACGTGGAGATGCTTATCAACGATCTGATAGAACAGCTGAAGGAAATAGAAAGCGCACAAAGAACAGGATCAAGGGAAAAGCAATCGCCAAGGTCGGACATACAAGCAACAGAAAATCAAATCAAAACGGTATGTTAAGTGAGAATGCTGCGTTAAATCACTTGTAGAACTCTCCTTTACTTAAAGACAAAAAATAAATATGTATTTAGCATGTATAAAGGTAGAGGTGCATCGCGATTTCGCCTTGTTAGCGCCACCAAAATGGAAGTTGTCAGAATGAACGGCCATTTGTCAAACACCATTTTTAGTAAATTGGCGAGAGAATTAAAGCTTTGTGTTAAGAATTTAATACTTTTTCTAGAGCATAAAACAACATATTTTCGTACTTATTGTTTTATTTATTCAATATAATCTCCTTTTGCTTCAATACACTTGTTACATCGATTTAAACGTGATCCAAATGCCTGATCCAGCCCATTTTGTGGTATTGCCTAGTGCCCGTGTTGAAGCTGTTTGGATGGTCGGAATGTCATCGAAAAAGCATCCTTTCAACTTAAATTTCAATTTAGGAAATAAAGAAAAGTCTCACGATGCGAAATCAAGTGAATAAGGCGGATGATTAAGCACACAAACTCTATTTCGGGCCAAAAATGACGAACAAATCTTGAAACTCGGGACGGACGCGACAGATTCTGGCCATCGAACGCTTTAAAACTTGGAGATAATAGTTGCCAGTAACTGTTTGACCAGGTGGAACAAATTCCTTATGGATAATTCATTTGCTATCGAAGAAGGTGATTTTGTCTTAATTTTTGAAGGCAATGTTCGCGTTTTTCTGGCTTGTGAATTCTCGACTTCCATTCCGCACTTTGAGGCTTGGTTGTCGGATCGTACTGAAAGCACCATGTTTCATCGCCCGCCGTAACGACCGATTTCAGAAAGTTTGGATCATTTCAGGCGGCTGCAACGACTTCTCTGGAATGGGCAACTCTCATTGATTTTTGTTCGTTCGTCAAAGTGTGTGGATAAAATTTAGCACAGACTTTTGTTTTGTGCAAATCCTCGTGAAGAATGGTCCGAATCGTCTCTCGGTTTGTTGATCAGCGCCTCTTCCATCATTCTCAGTGAAGCGTTGCGATCTTTTATAACAAAATCGCGTACTTTTTCAGTTATTTCTGCTTTTCGAATTGAAATTGGCCTTCAGCGTCGCCATATACTTGCTGTATCAACCGGAATGTTTCTGCTGCACTTTTACCAAGCTTTGAAATGAAATTAATGACCGCTTTGTTCCATGATAAAATTTCAACATCGATTACAAAACTAGGTTAAGAGCACCGTCACAACTTAATCATTTGCCATCCGATGTACGAGTACATGAACTAAGATGCGTTGGAAAGAACACTGTACCTTTGTAATGCAACTGAATTTTTACAGATGACGCCACTCGTTGCGGAGATATGACATCAGTCTTAAACATTATTTGTCACACTGTGTATAGTGTAGTCGTTCTCATTTGACATGTCGTAGCAGGCTTGGTTCTCAACGACTCGCATTCCAAGGCATCAGTACTATTTAATGTTGTACCTAGCAATAGCACTGCAGTATTGCGCTGTTTCTAAATATCTCATTTGTATGACATTTCTATCAGCGGTTCTGAAACAGCGTTTCCTTTCCAGATAATGGATATTCAGAAGAAGCTGGTGCAGCTGAAAGGTGGAAGCTACCCAGGAATTTAAACACACTCTTCACAAACATAAAATATTTTATTGTGTTTATAATATTGTACAATATCAAACTAAATAAAATAAAATAAAAACGTCAGTATCAAGCGTTAAGCTAAATAGAATGATAATATAAAAATCACAAATACTTTTTCGTCTTATACATAAGTTTTTCGTACAAGATATAAAGAAATTAAAAAAGCTCAACAATAATGTTTGTTTTTAAAGTAATCAGTCATTTGAATGATGCTAATGGTGATCTTAGAACTGATGTTTCTGGACAATTTATTCTTTCCTTCAACAAAACCAGTTTGATTGATTCCACATTCAATTTTCCAAAAAAAATCATTTGTGATAATACAGAAAAACTTGATCCAGCGGTATTTCAATCTATACCGCAATACCTAAAAAGTACGACCCATCACAATCTTCCCTTTTATCGCTTCATGGGTATTTTCTATAAATCCTAATTTTCCATAGAAGGCGTGTGTGTAGTTATCGTTGGCGTCCATTATAACATGCACTCCAAACGAACCTGAAATAAAACACCATAAGAAGGTCGTACACAATAGGTTCAGAAAAAGTTCCTGACATTTTCCTTCGAATTATCCATAAGCCGTAAACCATTTGTCTGTGTATTTTACTGTATTATCGACTGTAACACATAACAAGTGTCGGTTTAATGCAGAGTTGCCAGTTCGTGTCTTTTACAAAAAAAAAAATAGATTGTGGCATCATCATTGGGGACTTCTGGTTTTCGGAAATGACCACCAGTTCATAGTCAGTTTATTTGCGTCCTGATGCAATTCCATTTGTACTAAATAACAACGGTTGTTTAGCTGAATTCCAGCAAATAATGGGACATATTATGTGCTCACTCAATTGAAGCTAACAATAAGCTACCGTAACTCATTTTTATCTTAGAAAACAATACCTTGAGATATAGGAAAAATGGGCGTTAGCAGAATTTGCATCTGCATCTAATAAAATGAAACCCAAAAATCTTAATTTTGTAGAAAAAACAGGGCCACAATTCAACAGAAACAAGTTTTTGTAACATTTTCGGGTGAGCAAGTGGCAGAAGCAATTTTAATGAAATTCCATTTTAAATATCAGCCAGCGCCAAGGTGCTTTGTGCTCAATATTTTGTTTATTGTCCCGGTAATAGCAAAATGAACATTATGAATACCGTATGACAAATCCGAACAATAGAGGGCATAACTTTCAAGAACCATAATAATTTTTGTGAACACTAATCTCTTGAAAATTTTTGTTACACTTGCAAAATGCGTAATTACGCTATTTAGGTTTTACTTCTATGTATTTTCCTAGTGTCAGTTCTTTTTGTCCATGTTGAGAACTCTGTGAAACTTATAGCTATGTAAACAGATCTTGAGAATTGTAGTTATGTTCAGCCGTTTTAGCTTTTTAGCGTATAACACCCTTTATTATTCAGACGTTATTAAATCCTTGTAGTATTTTCACTTCTTTCTTATAGTAAGAGTCTGCATATACAGGGTGTTTCTAATTTGGCCCTCACCATTGGGATCTTGGAAACTGTAAGGGATACGAAGTCGCTTAAATGGGGTAGTCAACAAAGTGACACCAAGAAGGTTTCGAAATTCAAAGTACTTCCGTAGAGTAACGGAAAAACTGAATTTTCCCACAATTGTTCTGATTTTTTCCTGACTTTATTTATATTGGGATTTTAAAATAAATTGCACATTAACAGTGCCACGTTTTCTCCTCTACAAGAAGGCATAATCAGAATTTCTATATGACGGTTCGTCTCTTGTCCTCCAGCATCAACTTTATTATTTCTTAAGGACGGTATATTGCATTTTTGCACGGATGAATAGAGTTTTTAATTTTGATTAAAAAAATACATAATACGTCGTACATTGACGTTGTCAAACCTTGATTACTTTACGAAAATCATAATTTCTTAGGTAGGCCTTGAAATTATCAGAGGTTTGTTTCGATCACCAGATTTATCCCAAAACCACTCTATTTTTTTCTAACTCAATTCGAGATGGGATTTCAAAATAATTTGCATATTGTCATTGTTACTTATTCTCGTCTGCAAGATGGCGTAGTAAAAATTTTCAATTCGACATTTCTTCTTTCGACTTCCATCATCAAATTTGTTTTTTCATACGGACACTATATTGGAATTTTGTACATTTAAATGGACTTTTTAAGCCCTAAATTCAGTGATTGTTAGTTGACCATAAATCTTTTGTTGGATGAAAATTAAAAGGAAATAAAAAGATTTGGTGAATCCTGAATACGAAATGAAAATTTTATTGATGGTAATAACAATTATCACTATAAATAAGCAGAGGTATTCACAGACTTCCAAATTCTGCTGCTAAGATTTCGCAATATCAATGTATGACACATTTTCTAAATCAGAATAAAAATTCTATTCATGTGTGTAAGAATCCAATATGGTGTCTATAAGAAAAAATTAGGTTGATGCTGGAGGATAAGAGACGAAACGTCATATTGAAAGTGTGTCGTCTTGTAGAGGAGAAAATGTGGCAGCGTTCATGTGCAATTTATTTTGAAATCCCACCACAAATAAAGTCAGGAGAAAATTAAAACGATTTTGGGAAATTTTGTTTTTACGCCTCTTTCCGGAAGTACTTTCAATTTCAAAACTTTCTAAGCGACATTTTGCTGATTACCTGAATACGCAACTTTGCCCCTAATTAAGTGACTTCGTATCCCTTGAAGTTTCCGAGATCCCAATGGTGAGGGTCGAATTTAAAATAAACTGTATAGGGAAAATATTATTTTCACCTCAGCGCAGTCTGAGTGAGAAAAAGCTGTATCACAAAATCTCCAGAATTCAGTATTTTACTATTTTGTTTATTTTTTCATCAGCTTTGGGTTGGACTTACATAGCTAGAATATATAAATACTGTTTGTGCATACACTTCGAGGCTGGGCGACAGAGGAACAGGGAACAAAAACCGTACTATCCGAGTTTTATTAAAAGTCATTCTTTGTACATTTCTCATGCATAATCACTGCAGACGTTTATTCAGAATTCTAACTATGTATTTACTTCTTCAACTTGTAATTCGATGTGTGGAATCACAGTTCTTCGAATTTATGTTTATATATGAGGATTGAATGGTAATTACTGAGAAAATCTACTTGACATTTTTGGGTGCTGTTATTTTTTCTAGGTGCCCATGTTCTCCACTCTAAAGGAAAATACGGGCACATTTGGACAGTTCGACGAAAAATCCTAGATCATTCTGGTTTACAGCAAATGAACCCCCAACTTTTTCAAAATGATCTACTTCATTCTAAAAAAATGTACATTCGAAAAATTATTGTACTTGATTTCAAGCTCTGACAATTTACTGGAAAATTATCTGCTGACTGATTTGACAGTCAGAAGTTTCTGTACGAACAGCGGATTAGTTGTCGGTAATCGGTCTGACCTCCCGCAGCCAACTTCTAACGTTCTTATGTACGTATTAATACAGTCAGCGACGTGTCAGTGACAGCTTACTGCTGCAATATATAGTGTATCTAACGAAGCTACAAAGTAATCGTAAACAGTGGTTGATTCGTGACGTGATCAACGCGTGGTCGGTAGCCATGGCGCTCTGTCGGCCTCTTCCTGATTGGCTTGTAGCGACGAGCCTCCAGACAAAGTCGCACGGTTGCCACGCTCGGCGAGTTTTCGCCAGAGTGGTTGATCACATTCGCATGGATCACAAATCAATCTGTTGGTGCAATACGTGCAATAACTGTTGTAAAGAACATTATATAACAATAAATGGCATCACAAAGGTATATTCCAATTTGATCTGCAGCAAATTATGAACGGCATATACGGAGATGCGAAAACAAGCTCAAAAAGGTGAAGAAAATTTTTGTGCAATCTTTATAGTTAAATTTTTCCTAAGAGATAGCATCAGTGAGGGAATTTTTTTCTATTGTCTTATTTTTCACATTAATGCGATGTCGAGGTATGTGGCCCTATCGCAATTGAAAATAAGGTTTCGATAATCCTTCCATAAAGTTTCGATGAGTACATCTGAAATAACCTTGAGATATTCTTCAGGGAAATACAAAAATCTCCTTTTGTGTTTTTTTGTGCAGATTTATCTATTAAAATCCTATCCGCAATCTATTTTCCGTGCACACACCTTCAACCGAATGTATGCCATATATGATATTACCATTTCCAACTTTCACCAAGGTTAATAGGAACCATAACAGCTCCCTACCCTTCCCCCCTATAAGAATATCGATTTGTAGCCTCACATTTCAAGGTTAGACTTCTTGTAATGTTTCTGTTCAACATTCGGCGATTTCTGACAATTTTCCCAATAAAACATGATCATTGTGACATTAAGCCTGGCAACGCTGCATAGTAGAGGGAACTCTCAGCGTCACGTTGATGGTTCGTCACCACGCACAGGATTGTAATCAGTTACGGATACCCGTTTATGAGCGCGAACGTTTTATGCACGTCTTGACTTGATTTTTCTTGCGGAAATTTAATATTAGTCTAAAATGTCTGACACAGATACAGCTGATGAAGTGGTTGAAATCAGCTTAACGTCACCCAGAAAAAGGGCTAAAACGCTTCATCTTAGCGCAGGTGAAAAATAAAATTATTCTAAATATCTACAAGAACCAGATGCAAGAGAATAGTGGATTGGCTATAGAAAAGGTTGCTGAAATTTCTGGAGTAGGTCGATCAAGTGTTTACAAAATCTTGAAGGAATATAGACAAAATCACTCACTATCTGAGCCAAAAACATATCCAGCGAGAAAAAAAATCATCGAAAAAATAGATGACTTTGACAAAAGTGCCATTAGAAGAAAAGTACATCACTTTTTCTTCAGGAATGAAATACCTACAATAGATAAAATATTGAAGCAAGTGAATGATGATGAGGACCTGCCAAATTTTAAAAGATCTACGTTCCATAAGCTGTTGAAAGAACTAGACTTTCGATTTTTGAAAAGAGGAAGGAATAGTTTATTGATAGAAAAGGAGGAAATTGTTATCTGGAGGAGAGAATACCTTAGAAAAATTAGGCAATTCCGCGCTGAAGGAAGAAAAATTTATTATTTAGACGAAACATGGGTGAACGCGGGGCATACGCAGGGAAAGGTTTGGGTAGACAGATCTGTGAGGTCCTCAAGGCAGGCTTTTTTAGATGGCCTTTCGACGGGATTGAAAAATCCTGCAGGTAAGTTTCGAAGTATATGAACTTTTTTGGATGCAGATAATTCATTTTCTGATCGAATTAATGATTTGGAAGCTCCGAACTCAGTTTTGCTATCTCATCCAAGTTTCTGAGTATTTCCTTCACCCAAAAACTAATCTAAGACCATATCCTACACTAACCTAAAAAGAGTAAGTTGCTTAATTTCGTCATTTAGTGCGCTCGCTGAGAAGTAAAATAACTAATTACTTTCAGGCACGAGAAAACGCCTGATCATTTGCCACATAGGTAGCGTAGATGGATTTGTTCCTGAAGCATTGTGGGCATTTGAATCCAAAAAAACTGGAGACTATCACGAAGAAATGGATAGTAACTCATTTGAAAATTGGTTCAAAAAAATTTTGCCGACACTTGATGATAACGCAATTATTGTGATGGATAATGCCCCGTACCACTCCAGAAAATTGGAAAAAATTCCAACAATGGCCACCAAAAAGGCAGACATTCAACAGTGGCTTGTCTCAAAGAAGATCGACTTCGACCAAACAATGGTCAAAGCTGAGCTGATAAATATAGTCAAGCGACATAAGTATAAATATGATTTAAAAATTGTTGACGAAATGGCCAAAAACCAAAATAAAACGATTCTCAGGCTGCCTCCCTATCACTGCGAACTGAATCCTATCGAGTTGATTTGGGCCGACATCAAGCAATACGTGGCGTCAAATAACAGCACTTTTAAGTTTTCTGACCTTAAAAAACTGTTTGATGTTGCTGTCGATAGAATTACGCCAGCAAAATGGAGAACATGTATTGACCATGTCCAAGAGAAGGTTGAAACCAAAATGTGGGATATGGACAATATCATTGACACCCAAGTTGAACCCCTTATAATTGACATCAACAATTCTGATGATTCAAGCTCCTCGGAATACAGCATATAAATCGATTGATACCATTAAGACTGGCAGTTTAACGGGCTTTTTGGCAAGACAGGTAAGTTCATTATAGACTGCAATCAAAGTGTAAGTTTCTAGTTATTAATGTGGAAATTCCAAATTTATAATTACACAAAATTAGGGTTAATTTAGGAGTTCCAAAGCATAATAGTGCCATTTTGACCTTCTTCCTATTTCTCATGTAAATTTTAATAGCAATCAAACTAACAAACTTTATGGAGTCTGTAATAAACTTTTGTACTACTACTACTACGTCTGTAGTTTCTATTTGCTCAAAAAAATTTGCTCTGCATTGTGAATAGAAGGTTGATTTGTAAATATTATTGGGTATATATATGTAAGTTAAAAATAAAATATGAACAATTTCAATTGAGATGGTCCACAAGTTTTTTTCGTGTGCGTTTTAGTAACATTTTGCTGAAATGGTGAATACAGAATTTTTTGCACTGATTCCTAATGTCGAAATATGATTAGAAAGGCGTGGTATATTCCTGATAATTTACTATGCTTTTGATAGAATTTACAGCAACACATATCTTGTACGACATTTTTTGATAGATCAGTCACAATAGCTTGATACGGCCCTGTAGCGTCTCCTACGGTTAAGTTCTTGATCACGTGCAATACGGGTGTATATGTTTGATTTTACTTTGTTTCTTCGATGGATACAGTTTAGGTCATGACTTGTCGCCGACTATCAGTTTGCGGACTGTCTGCAAACAGGCTGTACGAACAAACCATACATCGATTTTCAATGATATCACCTAGGTTTATCCGAGAAAATGTCACATCGGAACTAGCTGTCATTCATTTCATGTTCACTTGTGCCAGCTGTGCGTGTTGCCTAAACGGTATGGGTTAGCGCTGATGTGATGTATCATCTGCTTCAGAGATGGTACTAGTGGAGACCATTTATAGCTTCTACGCTTGTCTGTCCGAATCAAAAACATATATAAAGAGTACTATAAAAGTTTTGCAATATGACTTAACAATCGGACGCAGGAGGCCACATGTTACTGAATGTTGAGACATGTCCATGAGTGCATAGTAGCTGGCAGCAGCTCGTCTGTTGATTAAGATGTTTATTCGTATTGACAGTGTAAAGTGCAGAGTATGGCATCGTGGTCACGTAGCTTTACGGTATATCTTCACGCTTGGTTTAAGATTAGACCAGTGCTTAGAAAAGATACGCTTGCATTAAAGAATGATTGTCCTCATAGTACGACTATGTTCAACCGGTACAGAGAATTCCAAAGGGACAATTTCACTCTGGAGGACGCTGAGAGAAAAGGAAGGCCGCGAACGTCAGTAACAGAGGAGAACATAACTGCTGTGAGGAAAATGCTTGACGAAGTCCGGAGAGTGACATACCAACATATAGATGAGACCTTACACCTTCATGCACCAACAACTCATTCAATTTTGCATGACCGTTTACACGTAAGGAAACTGTTCTCTCTGCGTACCGCATAGTGTGACGGAAGAGCGGAAGACTCGTCGTTCGAGTTGGTGCCGAAAGATGCTGAAAATGTTTGATAAGGGGCAATCTCGGTATGTGAACAGCATCGTGACAGGTAACGAGACTTGGCTCTATTACTACGATGTGCCGACCAAGGCTCAAAACAATGTTTGGGTCTTTGATGATGAGGACACCCGTGGCTGTCAGAGAATCCCGATCTATTAGGAAAAAAATTATAGCTGTATTTTTCAAAACGAGCGGGATTGTAGATCGTGTCGTTTTGTTTAGTCACAGCTAAGTGGCACATGGAACAGTGCCTGCCTAAAGTCATAGAGTCTATGAAAAACCTGCGGCCATAGTCAAGAATGGACACTTGGTACCTCTTCCATGACAATGCTCCAACTCACCGCGCCAAAGCCTACACCGAGTATTCGACCATTGGACTGAAACTTATTGAGCACCCCCCTTACAGTCCAGATCTTGCTCCCTGCGACTGCACTGTTTCAGCATGTAAAAATTTAGCCAAAAGGAAAACGGTTTTCTACCGATGAGGACCTTCTCAGGGCTTGGGACGACTGTGCCGCACTACCGGGTGAAACTTGGCAGAGCTGGTTTAAGGACTCGTTTTGGCGGATAGAGAAGTGTATTCAATGTGGTGGAAATTACGTTGAACAAAGTCAAGAAATAAAGCTGTATTGCAAAACTTTTATAGACCCATTTGTATATTAAAAATTTCGTTATTGGACGACGTTACGGTCCCAATGGTGACCTTCTTCAAGTTAAAGTATAAGTTTCAGATGTTACATCATCTATGGGTTAAGATGTAAATTCTATATTATAGGTCATTGCACAATTCCTCCATGTCAGCTTGGCGTAACTAGCGAGTAGCCTGTACACAAGTTGACATTACATCGATTTCTAATGAGATTATATCGATTTTTTTCGTAATACTCCTGTGGATCGGTAAAGTATCTCTGATCGCTCTACGGCACTATGGTAGCTAGCACTGCATGCAAAAGTATTCTATGAATGCGACAATTTTGAGTTGAACTGATTAAGTGGCCTAAGCTCGTTTCTAGCACATGTGGTTTCGATTGGCCAGAGAATATATCATTCACAGTTTTATTTTGAAAAGATTGTATATAGGAAATAATTGCAAAGTCTGGTTTTATTGATGCAAGTTGTTTGTTCAAGGGGGTATTTAAGACATAATGCATAAAATGGGTATACCAATTTTTGTGGGAATACTTTTTATTTGACAACAAACAATGAGAACGTGTTTTTGGGATTCAATATAAAGTGTTGACAGAAACGAGAAAACTCTTCAATTAGGATTTTTAGGTATTTATGAGACCTAGACACGTGAAAAGATCCCACGAATAATGAAAAAGTTATGGTCGAAAACCGAGGCAAAATGCAGGTTTCGAAACTTGTTGCTAATGCGACGATAATTTCACGCAGCTACTTAAAATTTTTCAAATCCTAAGGTTTCTTACTTATAAATAGCCACAACAAAATGAGTCGATTGGTCAAGCAGTTTTTGAGAATTTCTAATCGCGTATCAGCGCGGTGAAAATAAAAGGTTGAGGAACGCAGCCACACAATAAATGATATGAGTAGCCAAATCCAGCCGAATTTTGTATCGCTATTGCGCCATGACTGTCATTTTGTGGCAAACCATGAATGGTCAGACAGAAGAAATCACTCACCATTGGCCCTCAAAGCCGCTAATAGACACGTGACAAGCCTCTTGCTAACAGACTGATCCAGGATGGAGGATAACAAGCTACAAACCATTGACGACGGGTGCGAGGGACTGCTAACGTAGACTTCACCTTTGAAATTGTGGAAATGTTCGACGGCCTCTTGAGCTGACTTAGGCAGGTCTTTGGCGCAGTCCGCCGGGTATTTCTCGCACATCTCCGGTATCCACGCGATCTCTTGCTTCGCGCGGAACTTCTGGTAGTCTGGCGACGCGCATGCGTAACCGACTATGTTGTTTTCGTCTTCTACCACAAAGCAGAATTCTGGGTGGAGCGTCAGATATCTGAAACAATTACACATCCTACATAGGATTAAACAAAGTGCCATTTGTATCTTAAAGACTGTGCAAACTATATGAGAAAAAAAAATAGTCCTTCATAAAAGGATAAAAGAACAATGAAAATTTTATATCATGCTATGATCGAAAGTCGTATAAGTTACGCAATATTAGGTTGGGATGGAGCACTTGATAACCAAATTAATAAATTAGAAATTATCCAAAAACAATTTTTAAAAATAATCTTGAACAAACCACTCTTATACCCATCTGATCTGTTGTATTCTGAAGCAAAACTATTAGACCGACAGTAATGAGTGACAAGGTTTTTCGTGCTGTACATGTTTTATAATATCCAAAAAACACAACATATCATTTTCGAATTTATTTCACGATTACAATTCTGCCTCGACGGAAAGCGTGGGAAGTAAAAAGTATTATAGTTTAAAAATGATGCGACGATGTTACGGGCTCACACACCTCGAAAAACTTCCAAACTTGGTAAAGTATTCTACCTTTGCCTTTGATAGAATTATGGTTCACTTAAATAAAACTTCAATGATACTCACGGTCCAACTATCCTGTCTGCCTGCAGATCCTTCAGTCCATCAGGATACGGCGTTGGATCCTCCAGTCCGTCTTTGCTCGTCTTGGTACAAACTTCATAAACTGCTTTCTCGTCAGTAGACAAGTACGGTCGTATCGTAAACACACTGTTTGTCGGAATATCTGGCACTTTGTATACAAAAAGATCGTTGCCAGAATCCACTGGTATCAAACGCTGAAATGGGTGAAGGAATTTAGAAACTAGTTATGGCCCAACGAAAAGTTATATCGACCCTACACCTCAAAATATGTGAATAGAATAAGAGCTTCGTATACGAAATTTGACAATGAAACTTCCGAGATCTTAGGTAATGATAGCGGATTAGAACGAAAATTGTAATTATAAAAAGTTATTACCAAAATTTTTCGCTCTAGAGACTTCTGTGTCCCTGGTTTCGGCTAATTCTTGATATATAAAGAACAGTCAACTTGGACCGAGAAGCTTGATGAGTCAGTCTAGCAAGTCCAGAATTCAGCATTTTGTCCGCAATTTACTGAATTATTGAATATGGAAATTTTGATTGGTAATATATTCAATTAATCTTGGCATAGAGGGTTTCTTTTCGGAGATTTTATTGTCAAACACCGTACGGCAGCTCACCTGCAAATCGGCTGTAAGCCCTCCTCTGAATACCCACGGTTCCTGGTCTCCACTCATGAAAGTCTCCTTCCATCCTTTGGAAAACCCTATACGAATAGATGACGCTATTAGAATCAGTGCACATGAAAATAAGATTCGCTTAGCGCTTTTGCAAAAGATGCTTCGTACGCTTGCGCTTTTTCTAGGGTGGTCGCTGTAGCTTGCTCTGCTTACCCCTTGGAACTAAAAACTACTGCATTAAAGCTTAATGCAGCTAAGAATTTGATTGCAATGTTGGGTTACTATTCATACTATTCTGAGCTAGACTTTCCGATATGGATGTGTATACAAAGTGCCTCACGATACGAATAAAATTAACTTAAGGCAGTTATGAAAATTGGGTTTATGGTATAGCCATAGATTACTTCCAGAGCCGACAGCCTGTCAAAAATCAGGTTCCATCATCGCCAACTTGAGCCTTATGCGTTTGGTAGGATTTCCGTTCCTGTCAACTGTTACTGTGACATTTAGGGGATATTCCTGGAATATTGATTCCAGTGGAGCATGTTGGCATGCGGGCAGAATAAAATGTAGTTTTGTCAATACTTTTTCAATTCTAGCCCAAATCATTGGGATGCTGCGTATCGGAGTTGATCCGGTCGACGTGCAAAATCAATTATCCATCTTTTGGACTTTCTGAGGCGCAAGCAAATTATAATAATATTTTTATGCATCGCGTGAGATATGTTTACGATTATTCATCACAATGACTAGATTTACTACTTATAGTGTTGTTGGTGGTTATATTCAAAATTAAAAGCTCTCCTAAAATCGTCTTGCCTAAATCCATATAGGCAAATGATGAATTTCTTGATTCTGTATTTTGACGTATGACATTCACGACGTCAAGACTAATTAAGTGTAACCACCCCTTCGGATGCCCATGGAAACAAGTAGGGAACGCGCCAGATACGAAGATCCGCACGGGTATCACTTATATTGAAAAGTCACATTATGCCGATTTTTTTTTGACATTATGCTGTTTTTCTTTTGACATTATGTAGGTATTTCTACAAGACTTAGCACTTAGTTGTACGTGTTGCCTAAACGTCATGAGGCTTGTTATCAATCTTTGGCTCTGATGTGATGTAAAATCTGCTTCTGAGATGGCATTACTGGAGGTCTAAGCTGTAAGTTGTACGTGTTAATGATAATTACATTGGGTTCTTGTCTCAAAACACTTAATTGAGATTGAAAGCTAGAAATTAGTTGCGCAACCACTTTTTCTTATCCATTCTGGAAATGACATATACAAATTTGCTGAATTTTAAAATGAGACAGATAAGAAATAATTATATTCACTGTACACTGTCGAATTAGAAGCCATATACATGCTAACAGTAATTACACACAACGCGAGCGCGGTGATCATTTCCCGTAATTCTCCTCAGTTTTTCGTAATTTATAACTTTCAACATAACCTCTCTCCAGAAAGCACAACATAAAAATAACCCGTCGGGCACAGCCAATAGATATACTTCATTGGCATCATATTCAGTAATGATTTTCTCACACAGTAAATATCACGGATTTTATACACATGCAGACCAATACACATTCATCCAGATGCGATCTTGCTACTCAAACAACTTTCTTCTCAGAGATAAAAACCAAGGACCATTTGGCCTCACAAAACTATACAACCAATAATGCGTGTAGCTTAGTTGAGTGATTCCTCCATAGATGGATGTTCACAACGATCCTAGTGAGCAAACGTGGAATGACTGCTTGCGCAGTAAAAAACTACCTAGTCTGCAAGTTGACATCGTATAGGCTTTTTTTACGTTTTGTAGGTTTTTTACATGATAGCCGTGCCGAGGGCGGCGTACCGGAGCTGTCTCAACTTTGTAATCTGTTGTATAAATGATGGGAGCAATTCGCCTAAAAGATTTCCAAAATGCCGATATGTCCGGTTGTACTGGAAGTAAATACGGAGTTGCTCACTTCGAAAAAAAATTTATTCCTCGCGAAATTCTACATATTACATATATACCATCCTACACCTAAGTCACAGGGTGGCCAAAAAAGAGAACAATCATTAGATTTTAGAAAACCAAAACAGTCATCTTTTTTAAACGGAAACGACCTTTTTATAATGTCAAAGTATTAAGCATTGATATATGGAAATATGGGTTTTTCTCGTGCTTAAATGCTTCATACAGCTTTGAACATAAGTTAATATCTGGAGGCCACGGGGCCCAGTGGGACGAAGTCCTAATTTTGCGGCGGCCAAAAGTAAAAAACAAAAATGACTTGCAGCTTGTCATAATTACAATATTTTAGAACTGTAGTGTATTGGCATCAAAAAACTAGCCAAACTTCACATTTCAACGTGCACTTTTTCGCTATACCTGTCTAAGCAAGGGAAATCCGTTGCAACAAAAATTTGCATAAAAAATGATGTCAAATGTTTTGTAAGGTTTAGAAATTCGCGCCGCATTAATGGTTTTGACTTATCTATATCTTCTAAAGTTTGTTGCGAAACAATTTTAAATTTCGTAAGAAAATAGAAATATTACTTTTGAACACTGCAAAAGATGCAGGCCACATTTGAGATCTCTCAGAAATAGTTGGACCTATGCATGGGATTGTATACATAGAATGTATTTAGAATCTCGTGTAGAATTCAAAAATTGAATAACATAAGCAAGCTGGCTGGTATCTACTTCCTGAACACCCGAAAGTGCAACCATTTTGAAAATATTTCAGACACATTAGACATACTGTACCACCACATTTTTATAACTGCCTTACATCAAGTCCTTCAGTGATCGATTGTTGAAGTTCTACATATTTGAAATTGATGCAATACATCAACTCAAAGCTCCTTTTTGGATTTAACATGGGCTTTATAACATACAATTAGCAAAATTCGAAAGGATATGGCAGTTGCTTTAGTGCGAGTCGAAGTACCTGTTTTGTTGGGTCTTCAACAATTTTCAAAGGCAAAAAGTGCAATCAAATGCTTAGTTGCTGCATTTGACTAAAATTACGCAAATGCTGATGAAATTACGCCAAACCAATGAAAATTACGCAAAAAGCTATGTGCTAATAAAAAAGAACGTGGTTGAACGATGCGTACATGTATAGGTTCCCTGGGTGTACGACGGCATAGACGGGGGAAACTGACCACCAGCTTAGGAAAGAAAACAAAATAACCATTAGTATGAGGAAAATGAAAATGATATACATTGACTGAAAACACTGTTTATACAAGGTATATTTATAGGGTCCGGGAGACTTTATCAGGGGGATCACCATTAAAAATAGCTACATATAGCAAACAAATGACCTTGTCACATTAACAAAAATGCCCAACTATTGGCGCTCCTTAAGCCGCGTACAGACCGAGATTCCAACGGCGCGAGCCAACATAGGCCAACGTTTTCCAAGGTCGGCGTTGGCGTTCGATTACGTTTGCTCCTTGATCGGTACATCAAAGGGAGGTTTGATTTGGTCTGGACAGGATTTGTTGCGCTTCCCAAGGTGGTTCTAGTCAGTTTAGTTTAAGTGTAGACTAAGCCCGCGGCCAGGCTCGCATGGAAGTGGTGCATAGTATAGGTCATTTGTTTTGCATTGGTGTGGGGGGATTTGTTTTGGAGACAGAAATGCATTATTCAAAATAATGCAATAGTTACTTTGGCAATGAACATTTTCTACCCAACATCTTGATGCAGCAATAAATTAAGTTCAAGTTCAATGCTTCGCTCTTTTATATCCTCGATAAGAAGTAAGGAGTTAACTTGAAAATGTATGTGAAATGACCTAGAAGGTCATTGTCAGGTTCATTGGCAAGCACTTACTTGAATTTAAAATTGTCCACAATTTGCATTTCAGGAATTAAAAATAGATGTTTCCCGTTACAAATTATTTGATCTTCACCATGAAGGTCATAGTCAAGGTCATGGATATCATACTTAACATGAAGTTTCTTGGTCTTTTTGTTTCTGGTGTCGGAAATAAGGGTTTCCGTTTAAGCAAACTGTCACATTCAAGTTTACCAATAGATGAATCATATCAAACTTTACAACTTTATTACACAACATCATTATTTATGAAACGTATTTTTAGATATGCTGGACATTCCCTACCTTTTGGACACCCTAAAATACTCATGAAGATTATGGTCAAGGTCATAGGCAAAGAAATTTACTTCCAAAGTATAATCTACCGATCTTTACATTTCCCGTGTCCAAAATAGGGGTTTCATTTAAGAAAACTGTGTGGCTGAAAGTCACAGTCAAGGTTACTTTTAAAATCACCATTAGGTGAACCTGTTTAAATTTTGCAACTTTGTTACACATTTTTGTTTAGGAAACGTATTTTTCCAAATATTTTTATATATCCATACCTTCTGAACACCCTGTATATTTTCGCGGATAAAACCATACGTACGGTTCAATTAGTAAGTATACACATGTTTACGTCTCTCTGTATTATGTTGACAGACGGGACAGACCTTCACATTTGTAAATAGTTAAAGGCACGTTTCAGCACGTTGTGAGTAAAAAAACTGTTTCGTATTTATATGTCCATATTTTTTCAGTACAGCGGACAAAACTATAAATTATTGATACATGATTATTATTCAGTAGTGATATATCAAATCTTCTAGTTTTTTTGAAAACTACCAGCAAATTCAAAATGGCGTGGAGTGATTTTACCCACTTAGCAACGGGGGTCAACAAAATTTTGACAGCATAAAACTAGTTGTGTCGGCATTCAAAACAACTCACTTAGATCGCCAGAGACTAACTAGCACGAAAATATTGCTATAATAATGGTGCAAAATTATATTTTTTAGAAAGCCTTATCCTATAGCTAAAACATGTATTCATGTTTAATTTGTTTGAAATCAGTCGTATTTGAGCAAAACAGTCTAGTTTTAACGCACTCAAATCAATTTACACGATTTATTAAACGTTCACTTAGTCATCTTAAAATTTATATCCTTGGATTTTTTTAAGTGCTGATAACAAATGACTAATAACTAATAAGTTATCTGTTTTTAATAAGTATTTTTTTGTTTTACGGTTCAAATAACTGTCTATTCCTTTATAAAGCTACTCTGATTGCTTCATTCTTTTAAGGAATTTTGATATCAAGACAAAATACTGGCAAAAGTTGTTTTTTAATTTTTTTGTGATAGATATTATATTTTTCGATAAACTAAATAAACTATAACCACTTTTTTATTATAAATCGCTTACTGAATTCAAGGTAAGCTCGCTCTATGCCTGGGATAATGTCTCCCGCCCACCCAAGTTAAGAAGAGGTCACTTCAGTATCCAATTTTAATAATGGCAATCCCTTCATTCTACGTGAATCTATGGGCCCCTATGTGGAATATGGGTAAAGTCTCCCGTACTTCCCCTACATTTGTCTGGGGAGCAATAAAAGAGTGGGCACTTCTAGAACATAGTGCTCCCACATCCGTGACTAACCTATCCAGAGTTCGAATTATAAGTTATGCATAACGCTTTTGTAAGTATACTTCCAAAAAAAGATACCAAAGTTCATCGAACTTTCTCAAATTATTTACCGTATGTAGGTAATTGCTGTACAATATTTACATATAGAGTATATTAAACTTATTTGAACCCGGCTTGTATAAACAATGTTTACCATATGATATTCTTAGCATAATAGCATGCGCTTCCTAAAATCGTCCCACCTATAAATATGATTCATCGATTTTTCTGTGAACATCATTTACGAAGGACAATATATTAGCTTAACTCTATGGTTGATATATTGCTGATACATTACTTTTATATACTTTGAATGTTCAAAACACAAATTTTAAAGTTCCTTTGTCAATATAACGATGGACGCTTTAAGTAAAAATTCAACCCAAAGAAAACAACTAGTTCAATTCCATTGCTTTTAGCAATAATACGTTTTCTACGCCAATGCAAAAATACGCATATGCTTGCCATCCTTGATAACTGCTCTTGCTGGAAATACAAAAAGACAAAATAAAATCCTACGCTTTTTGCTGAAATACACATCGACACACTTTACCAACCGAGTAGATCGTACTTGCAATGTGAATAAAACAACAGAATTTTGAAACATATAGTTAGATTATTTGGGCGATGATCTCAACCATAAAGTTTACTTGTTCTAAATAACCATAATTTCAGGATGTATAAAAAATTATCTGGACAACTTTACAATTCTAAGATATGATTTTATGGTGTATTAAGATTTTAATCGAATTTCCACAATACCAAATGTTCATCTGTTAGGCTATTTGCATAAGACATCAACAATTATATCTATAAAATAGTGTCATAAGTAATTTTACACATCCCGGTAAGTATTCGTAAAATAGTTCCGAACCCCTTGGAAGTATTCTAAAAACATTAATTTTATTTGGAATGTCAAATTAATGATATTCATCATCACGAAGACGTTCCAACAACTTCTAGAAAAATAAAAAAAAATGGCCAATTAATTGCCACTATTTTTTGAGATGTAAGCGTTTGAGGGTCAAATTGACCTGACTGTTTCACAGAATATCTCTTCCCAAATATGTTTCTGACTTATTGATTGCGCGTGTATTCTTTCTTGATCCATTTGAACTTACCCAGCCATTTAATGTAAGAGTTCAAAAGCGATATAACTCCTCTGATATCCCATACATATGAATAAAGATCATATAATAATTCTCGGTTATTACAGCTTGACATGTGGCTGAAAAGTTTGTTGACACTTTCAGTCATTTCGTTCATTTTCTCGGCTCGTGAAAACCATTCCTGCACCTAGAAGGTGAACAGATGAAAATCATTCGCTCATTAAAACAAGAGAACCGTTTAAAAACTACTTTAAAATAAGCATACAGCTTCCTATACAAGTAATTAACTAACCTCTGGGCTACTCTTGTCTTTCTTCTGATTGGTAGCTATAACTAAGTGAGCATTCGATTTTAACCAGTTGAACTCTTGGAGCAACTGCAGTGCTTGCCCACCGTGTTCAAAAGGTAGGTAAAACAGATCACACAGTAAGGCTACATCTTCATATGTCAATTCACATCCTCTCCTGAAAAATTGCTGTCATATTGAAACTGTTTTGGAGAAAAAATAACGAATCCTCTTAGGATACAAAAAACTAAGATTGATACGACTACCTGCAGAAGTCAGATAGACACCATGGATGTAATAAAACAGGCACTTACTTATCACCGCTTCCAGTTTCATCATTGTCATTATTTTCTATCACCATCTGATTCGACTCTGCTAGCATACTACCACTAGAGGTCTGCAAATGAAAATTTTGCCATAGAAATTTTTCATCGAAATGTGTGTTAAACCCAATAAGGATAGAGGATTATATTATTTGATTTATTATAGTTTTTGAACATTTTCGATCAGTTAGAGATAAAGCATAACTATTACTAGTAGTTTATTCACTCCATAATACGAGTATAACAACAAACTAGAATTTTTTCAAAAGAAAAAAATAGCATCAAGTAGGTTGACTCTACACTTCCCACGACAGGCTGTCGTCAGTTCGTAAAGAATTATGTTCGACACAAGTTTGACCCTCCGAGAATAAAGTCGCATACGAATATCTAAAGCAGAAATTGAATAGATCAAGGCAGTCAGACAGGCCCACAGATAATTTTGCCCTGCCCTACCGGTAGTACAGTCCATTTGGAAACGTCGCAACCGTACATCACCGCTAGATGAATCCACTCGCCGGCTTCGGCAGCGTGGCAGTGAGATAACGACTCTGATCGAGGAGAGGGAGACTGTGGAGCCAACCAACGCAGACATAGGCGCTTGTCGAAGATATTTCTTTATCATTTTAAGTTTTACGGGTGTATGTACAGGGAAATATATGATTTGTGAAATATGTACCAGCAGGTGCATTCAATCACTGGCGTTGGATACGAATGAATATACTAAAGACAAAACATTGAGACATACCCTCCCTCATCCCCTAAAATGCCAAACTCTCAACCCCTACAAAATATTTTTCCGAAAACGAACAGGAGCCGCAGAAACATCAAAAAAAAAGTTTAGGCGATTCTAACTTCCTTGGTCATTCGCCCATAGCTCCGCCGCCACTAGATTGTCAAAATTTGATCAAAATCTGACTGGTACTTTCCAAGTTAGAGGCAGGCCAAGGATTAGCGGACAGACAGACCGACATACAGACCCACAGAAGTGAGATATATGTTTTATATATTTATGACATTGACCATTCAAGTGTTACGTAAGCACGTAAGCACTATTATGGGGCAGGAATGTCTTTGCTTTGCTTTTTTTGGGTCTGGATAGTGATTACCTAAGCAATACTTATTTTACTTTTTCGGATATTCCACACAATTTAGTCGATTTTGATTTGAACACATATCATTATACAAATACACTTTCCGCAAGTGTTAGGTATAAGATTTTTTCTAAGAGCGCAGGGCGAGAAAATAATAAACCCAGAATTTTAAATATACGAGGAGGTACCAAAAATACCGGAATAGCATTGCAGTGGGCGGAGCTTGTTCAGTGCCACCTGAGTTGTCGATCTGGCATATTTCATTTATTTGGAGGTATCAAGACGATTGCGAATCAGCAGTATTCGACAAGAAAGACCCGATTTGTGGCAGTCAGGAGACTGGGCCTTCTACCACAATAATGCACCTGCGCACACAGCCATCTCTGTTAGACAGTTTCTGGCAAAAAAATGGCATGGTTCCGCTGACTCACGCACGTTATTCGCCTGACCTGGCTCCGTGCGACTTTTCTTATTTCCACGGATGAAAAGGGGCATGAAAGGACGCCGCTTTGAAAATATTGAAGAGGTCAAGAAAAAAAAACGAGGGAAGACAGAGACAGAGCTGTCAGACATTTCTAAGCATGACTTCAAAAAATGTTTCGAACTTTGGAAGCACCGGTGGGACAAGTGTATTAGTTGTAGTGAACAATATTTTGAAGGAGATAAGGTTACTGTGTGAAAAGGTTGAAAATACTTTTAAAAAATAGTCGTTTTTTTTGGGTACAACATCAATAATCCATTTATAATAGTTGTTATCAATATCAAAAGTAAGAGAACAGTTATTTGGATTGTGGAAATTTGTAGGCGTTCTCGAAGCAGAACTGGTTTCGCCAATTTGATAAGAATAACACGTAATGCGTGCGGAAAATGTATGCCTGCTGAGTGTGCTACTCTCTGCACGCAGTTGCGTGAGTACTTTCCGCACGGTGGTAGAAAAAAGCATTTTTAGTGTCAAGTATGTTCTAAAGCGTTAGTTAACTTCTTACTAACTTCATATGCTTTACATTGACATAAGTTGTGATGGATGATAAAAGACACAAATATCGAACAACTCGAAACGCCTCAAACACGATAATTCAGGCATAAAGGCAGGATTGCCATGTCAATGGTTTATGGATTGTTAACCAGATCATGAAACGAATTAACAGACAACTGATAGTTAACTTCCAAGTCATAGTTACCTAACTTGAAAGTTAATCAGCAATTGAAAAACCGGGCCTTAGTCATGGATTCATGATGCCATGGAGTAACAATTATTCATTTTGTTTATGTACAAAAATGTTTGAAGACCAAAACAAATCAAGGTGTATAGGATTTTTCGGATGAGCGCATCCGCAACGGGGGTATGTTTGGTAAACAACAACCTGACAGAAGTGCAAATGGGCGCCGGCGGGATTTGTACCCGCATCTCCTCCATTCCGTCGAACCTACATAACCAATTAGTTTACAGCACCAGCTGTTAACCAACTTTCAGGATCGACTGTCAGAGGTAGGACTGAATTTCTGAATTAGAAAAGTGAAAAAGCAAAAAAAAAATGTTACAAATCTTAAGAAAAAAATATATCAAACGTGTATATTTAGAAGTCAATTCACTTTGGTGAATATTTGATTTGAGTTAAATAATCTGGTTTCTTCCTATTGAGCGTATCCATTTTGATAAATTCATTCTGAAACTGTCTATTTTGCAGTTAATATAATTTGGGAGTCAATCAGACCTAAGACCGCTCATTATAGTCTTATGAGGTATATGTATAGTTTCTACATATAATTTAACGTGTGTGATTGCACTGTATTCACTGATAGCTTTGAGGTAACAAATGATAATATGTGTTAATATGACAGAAATGAAATTGCTCTTTTTCAGGGACGTCGATAACGTCCCGTTATTTTTCGACGACCTGCAAGATGACGAGTATAGCGTTGTTCAAAATACTAACCGAATTTTCGCTCATGGCAACGTCCTCGCTAGATCCATTAGTACATTTAACATGAGCAGGAGATATGTTCGGAGTACTGTTACAGTCCATTGGTTCAGAAGGGCTCAAACTAGATTCGGTGCTCAACGTTTGCTCTGTATTCCCCGTTTGGCAGTGCATTTCAGTACCTGTAACATATTTATACATTTAAAACGGTGATTCCCAAAGTGGTCCAAGCGGACCCCCAAGGGTCCATGGCAGACTCAAGATGGGTCTACGTTAGCGTGGGAAAAAAATGGAGTTTCCAAGTTGTAAGTGGGAGTTCACGAAAACTTATCTTGTTTCAACAGTAAGGAACAAAAATACCAGATAATATTTCAAGAAGGCCAGCGACTATCCCTCGTAAAAACTTGATTATTCGATATTTGGTACAAGTTTCCAAACTTGCTATAGTCAGAATGTCTTGACGAGGATATTCGAAGATATATTCAAAATTTAAATGTCCTGCACGATGACTCCAAGTCCGGATTTAACAGATTTCTGATAATGGAAATCCCATTATGTATCATAAACCACAAGATGAGCTGCTCAAGCTTACCACTAATGACTAGCTGAAGGTGAAAGGCTAGCAGCCGTTCTACCAGCAGGCAGAAATACTCTAAAAATATTTAGGGCTCTGGAAAATTGCGAGAAAATTTTTGATAGCATTTTTCTCCTCTTGCTTATTGGAAACAGATTGCTACAATCTTATTAACAAAAAAATTGTACAGATTGGTTATTTCAGGTGAGATTTATGCTTATTTATTACTTAAGCTAAATATTGATAATTTGCAGTCAATTCATCCAATACATCCCTCCCCTTAAAATTTGTAATACCATTTTTTGCACTGCTGATTTGTATTGCGGAAGAAGTTACATTTAACATTATTTACCACTGTGGAAATTTGCATCATTAGATCTTCACAGTTCTTGACAAGCTTTTGGACTATGGTAGGAATGTAACAGGGAGGGGGTCCACCAAATCCAGCAAACGTTGTGGTCTATGAGAGAAAAAAGTTTGGCAAACCAACCTGCGAATTCTGAAACACCATAAAAATGTTTTTCGAATGTGCACCTTTTTTGAGTCTTGGATACAAAGAATTTTTTGTAGGGTTTCATGGTTTCTTTTTTACCCGACTGCCTTATAAAAAGAGTTATTTTTTGCGCGAATGTTTGTGGGTGGACAAACGGTTTGATAGAATTTGACAAATGACAAATTGACAAAAAATCAAGCTGGATTTAGAAAAAAATATTCTCCAGAAACTGCAATCCAAATGGTGGTGAAAGACTGGAGAAGAAGTATAGATGAGAAAGAACATATTGTAACAGTATTTTTGGACTTCGAAAGCGCATTTGAGGCTATAGATAAGGAAAAATTGTTAACGAAATTGCATCACTATGGTTTTGAAGGATCAGTATTAGACATTTTACAAAATTATTTAGTAAATAGAATTCAAAAAACTAAAGTTGGAAATATTATGTCAAGCGCCACAGGGGAGTAAATTAGGGCAGTTACTATTTATTATTTTTATAAATGATATCTCTGACATTTTAGAACACTGCAAAATTCAAATATTTGCTGACAATACATTGATATGTATAGCACATAAGCATTTGAACACTACTTTAGAACTGTTAAATAGTGACATTAAAAAAATATCAATTGGTTAAATGATAATAAACTTATATAAGACACCAATTAGACAAAATGTATGTCAATAAGGAAACATTTAGGTGACCATACAATTAGGCTCATGATTAATGATGAAAAAATTGAAGTAGTTGAATCATTTAAATATCTCGGTATATATGTGGATAGTAAACTACTGTTTCACAAGCATCATTTCAAAAACATCAAAAAAGATAAATTACATCTATAGAGTTTCCCATAATCTTAGTATGTATTCCAAAAAAATTGTGTATAATTCTTCCCTATTTTTTATAATGTTCATTCATCTTATTTACAGCAATGAAAGCATATTTTCAAAAATACAAATTCTACAAAATAAAGCTATGAGGATCATTTTAAATAAAAACAAATATGATAGTATTTAGAAGTTAGAAGAACTACAGTAGTTGAATGTGAAAAATTGCATATGTCATTTAGTTCTCATTTTCATATTCAACTATTACCACCACATTAAGACTTGACAAAATTAATTAGTCATTATCATAACTAGGAACCCAGAGGCAGTATAAATTTTCATCTGCAAAATTGTAATAGTAGAATAACTTGCAAATCCGTATTTCAAAAGGGAGAATTTGAATTTAATAAACTGAATAATGATATCAAACAGTGTTCGCACTTAAAAACGGTGAAATTAAAAAATCACTGTATGAATACTCAAAATGCATAGTGATATAATATCAATAGACAGGCATGAAAAATTACAGAAAATGGATTGAAGAAAAATGTGTGAATAATTATACAAAACTGACTTTGTAGCATTGATATTAAATAAATCTCCAACAAATAAACAAAACTGCAAATGCAATAATACAAAATAAGAATCATCTTAAGTAACACTAGAATAAATGTTATGGTGGCACAAATACAATATACATACATATTACAATACAATGTGTGATATATTGTGTAACATTCATGCATTCACTATTGCTAAATAAATCTACAGCAAACAAAGTTGAAAAAAGTTCATACACATTCAAATGCAAAAAATGCAACTTACGGAATTGGGAATGCTCAAATATAAAAATTTGTTCATAGTTTTCATGCAACATACCTTGTTCTTTCCCATCTTTCATATCGCCATTATTTTTTGAGCTATTATTTCTATTTCCCATCAACTTTTCTTTAACAATGGTGCCACTCAAAATCGTTACGGTTTTCGTCTCTGGCGCGTGTATCGTAACGGGTATGGGAACCGGAGCTATGGGATTTGGTATGGAATCATTGCAAACAACTTTTGTTTCTGATACTAGAGAATTCATCACAGGGCCAGGAACAGGATTCGCTAAACTGTCAGTACATGTCACCTGGAAAATAATTATTCAATATTAGGGACACAAAGAAATTGCTAACAGAAAATAATGTGAGATGAGTAAATTAAAATGATACATGAGTACACACACTCGTGTAAAATTATAGAGGAAGCTTAGGATTCATGTTCAGGAAGATAAATAATATGTATATATTGAAACACATTTGCTGGTTCTCTATTGAAATGGACATGTTTGCTTTCCGTCTGTCCTTGAGAAAGATGAACGGAAAGCAAACAAGTAGGTATGGTCGTTTGAAAAACTCAAAATATGGTAGTATGCAGAGGTAGGTGAAAAATCGATCATGCACCACCTACCACCAGTTCTTCATGCTCTAGTTGGTTGCAATAAAGTCCGGATTTTTCGACTGGGTAACTGTCTAGTGCTGCAAATTTTAAGGGTTCTCACGTTTTCCCACGATAACTCTAGTGATTGCACATTAAATTCGTAAACGATGAATGATGAGGTCATTGTGAGAATCATATACAATGCAGCCATAGTTTTTAGGATACGTATATATACTAAGTGACATATAAATCCGAACACCCAGTTTAAATGGTTTTATTTTAATAAAATTTGGTATAAGTACTTAATGAAGCATAATAAGTAAATGATAAAAATTTCAAAATGATTGCACTGCTTTAAAGCCCTTTGACCTTTGATAATGTGTGGATGCACCCTGATGTGCTACGCATTCTCCAATGCACCTAGGCATGCTTCTGATCAGGTGGTCAATGTCCTCATGTGGTATCTCATTCCAGGCAACCACCAACTACTCTCGAAGTGCTTCTAGAGTCTGAGGAGGACGTTGCAAATTGAGCAATCTCCTACCCATCATATCCCACACGTGTTCCATTGGGGATAAGTCGGGAGATCTTGGTGGCCATGGTAACAATGTGACATCATTATGTTGAAAGAAGTCTATTGTGACTCTTGCAACATATGGTCGGGCATTATCTTGTTGGAAAGTTGGATCTGCCAGGGTGTCAAGATAGGGTAAAAGATGGGGTTCTAAAACTTCGTGGATATAACGCTGCGCGTTCATGTTACCTCTGATGAATATTAAAGGTGACCTGGAACCATAAGCTATAGCACCCCAAACCATAACTCCAACAGTGTGATGAACATGTCTTTCAACAAAAAACTGTGGATTCCTCCTTTCACCGCGTCGCCTTCTAACCCTGGCACGACCATCGTGCATGCCTAAACAAAATCGAGACTCGTCACTAAAGACAATACTGTTCCATTCCTGATCCCAGAGTGACCGTTGTCTGCACCACTCAAGTCGATTACGTCGGTGTTCTCGAGTTAAAGGGAGGACCAACTGTGGCCGGTATGAAAACAAGCCAAAACTTCTCATTCGTCGGTAAACACTTCGCATGCCAATAGGTCTTCCGTGTTCTGCAAACCATTCATTTGCAATGGACCTGGTAGTGGAGAAACGGTCCCTTAAGGCCAATAGTCTTAGGCGGCGATCTTCACGGTCTGTTGTTCTACGGCGGCGTCCAGTGCCCCTTGCTCTTTGCGTATGGCCTTCTCGAAGCCATGCCTGACAACACCTAACCACAGTGTCTACACTTCTTTGCCCTCTAACTGCAATTGCCCGACAAGAAAGTCCAGCTTCCCGGAGTCCCACTATACGGCCCACTAAGTTGACGAAATCGTACAGGTCTCCGTACTCTAGGCATCGTAACAGATCGTAAAGGATGTCAAGAACCGAAATCCGCCAACGTTGATTCTTTACTGCGGCTGAAATATTCATTTTTATAGCGTTAGTGAATTAAAAAAAAGCAGTATAAAAACCGGAATGTCCAACTGATAAGGCTGAACATTTTTTCACTTGTTATTTACAGTAATATAAATACATTCACCAACTTTTATTAAAATAAAACCATTTAAACTGGGTGTTCGGATTCATATGTCACTTAGTATATAATCGATCCTTGATTTCATGAAATGAAGATACTGATGATAGAGGTTACTGCTGATGACGTCTGAGTTGAAAAACTGTGTATTAATGGCATATGAATATGGATGTTAATGAAAACAAAGGATGATCAAATATATCATTTGTTTTTACTAACAGTTTCCGTGCTTACTGTACTGCAGACTTCTGCTAGCGCTTGCAACTGGTTGGAGTTCACTACAGTGGTTGTGGTGTTTCCAGTTGACGATGTATTTGTTGTAGCTGTCAGGCTCATGCAGGTATTTATAGATGGTATGATGGGCACAGGCACAACTGAAAATAAATAAATATTAATTAGGTTTGAATACACAATAACCATCTTAGTTAGTATTCAATCGAAAGACTGAACACCATAGCAACTGACTAGTCAGCACTATTCCAGGTAATTAGATCTTAAACCCATTGACCTTATATGTCATCTTTTAAAGCTTCTGCTTTTTCACTAATAGACATTAATGGTCTTACCTGCTACCGCAGGTTGAGGCTTAGCAATGGGACCCCAGGCAGACTTATGTTTGCTGAACTCTTGAAGCCAGTCATTAATGGCATTTCTTAAGGCATGTTTTGGGTGGTACATATTCGGTGTTAGACTAGTTGGAACATCCTCACCAGATAGACCATCTTCAGTCTCAGTTTCTAGCTTGATGTCAGCAGATACAGGATCATCTAGTAAATGTCGTCATTCAATTAGATTTTATATTTAAAAAAAAACCTTTTTTTATCTTGGCCATTTCATCAATATCATAGGATGCTCAAGATGAGAATACAGACTATAGCAATAAAACAAAATATACAAATAAAAGTAATACTATTTTGTGGATGTGATCAGAAGCAATGATTAACATATTTTATCTGCAGATGGCCAACCTGATACAATATTTCAGCTTCAAAAAATCATGCAATATGGGATACCATAACATCATCAATCTTTAAGAATTTGTCACAGCTATGCTTGTCGTCTCCAAAATATTAAAAGTCCACTCTGAAAAGATTAGTGCCTCACAGAAGCTGTAGCCAAGTATATGCCCATACATACAGCGCCATCCCAAAGTAGTTTCTAATTATTGCAGAGATGAGTCGCAGCTGTGAGAAATTCAATACATGCAGCCATGGTATCCCTTTTCATCTTGGATAATTTTTTGGCGCAAAGGTACTTTGTAGTACTGATTGTCTATCTTCAGGTAGAATATGTTAATCAATGTTAAGAAAACAACAGTCATTTTTTGTGAAACTGGTCAGATCAGTACATAGCTAGGTAACATCATATTATATGGGTGTCATTATTACTTGACAGTCTCAAAACTCAGCTTTCTCAGTGCATTGTACTGAATAATCTTATTTGTCAACACCATTACAGGCAACTGTTTGTGTCAACAAATATCACCTTCTGTTAATGTGAACACATTTATCGAAATGACTTTGTAGTGCTAATAGTTATTAAGTTTGCACATTTGGTATGAATTTCAAACAAACAATTAATATTGGAATGATGAAGTTAGGCGAAATATGCAATATATGCAAGTAAACTTTCTGACCTATAGAAATTGATTGTAAAAAAGATTTCTTTAAAAATCAGAAGTTAGTGTAAGAATGTTTCAAATTCTTAATTTCAAATAATTAATTTTTACTCTGCTCAATCCAAATCTAACAATTAAGTCAGGGAAAGAGTTTTGCCTAAGAAAAACCAAATAATTTTTTGTTAGTTTAGATTCACTTACTCATGGTTGGATCTCTTTGAGCATCAACATTGCATCTTGACCACTGAGCTAAAGTATGGATAGCAATAAAATTGGCCCCATATTCACAGTTTGGATTAGTCAAAACACCCCTTAATTTTGGTATAAGATCTGGGGATCTGCCTGAATAAGGGCCTAAGAACACTCTTTTTTGGTCATAATCATTGGCATGAAGATTATCCCAGATAACTGGAGGCCTACGAAGAACTTCTGTGATCTCCTGGATATTTTCTTTCGATAAGATCCTTGATATCACCTTCTGACCTAAAATTAAGTTAGTTCTATGACCCTATTCTTGAAAAAAACATAAAATCTTTACCTAGATGAGGTCAACCACTTATGTTATCTTGGAACTTATTCATATTAATGTAGTACATATATATTCTAATTTCTTCTTCTTACCTGTCCACATAATATCAATCTCTGGAGTCAACTTAGAACCTAGTGTATTCAAATACTCAGAGTTTGTCACATTTGGAACAGCCCTAGTAGAACAATACTGAGTTGGGCATAATAAAAATCTAGGTTGTCCTAAATGTTGATAGCATTCATTTGTAACAGAAACCTGTGCATGTGCAAATGACTGAAAAACCTCCTTGTCAGCTTCAGACATTTCAGGCTCAATATCATCAAACAATAAAGCAAAGGCAGTGCAACCGAACTGAGCAACTTGTTCCAATTTTCTTTTTAAAGTGGCAATTTCTTTAGCACTACTGTAAGTGATGTCCAGTCCTGGAGACAAGGCATAATAGAAGGTGATGTTATGATCCTTTGCAGCTTGGATAAGTCCAGTCAAATGTTCTGCCTCTTCTACTGTGTATTGCTCTCTCCAGTAAGCTCTGTGTTTGTAATCATCTTTGGGTGCATAGACATATGAATCCATACCCCATTTTTTCATTCTGAAAATGGTTTAATTTGAGAACATCTGTCAAGAAACAGAGACAAATGGATTTCCAAAACAGCATGCCTCTGTAGGTTCAGAATATCTACCTCCATAGTTCTTAGGTTAGAATTCAGGAAAAAAGAAAAGGTAATTCTCTACCTTTGCTACATCAGCCCTTTTTGTTTCTCCATCAGAACAAACAGTAGGTTTGGATTGTAAATGATGGAAATGAGATGAAAAAAGCCCGCAAATGGGTTAGTTGCAAAAATATTGTTGCTATTATCTGGGTTTTAAAAGGAATAAACACCTTAATCATGACATTTTCAGAATGGAACAGGTTTTATACAAACGATGATGATGCCATATTGAAGAAATAAAAGAAAATTAATGAAAATACGCATTAGCACGCGTAGCAGCTCTGCTTTTAACTCCTATATTTCTCCCCCATTCAGTTTCAGCATTGACGTTATGTAGGGCTGTAAAGCTCCCAAGTCATACAACAAATTGAATCATTACAAATATCCATCAAAATGAAAACCTATGAAGCAATGAAGTCTCGAACGTCACATAACCTATTAAAACAAATATTGAATAAAAACCTATTATATAGTAAAATTTTTCAATACTTTTATATTTGTGCTCATTTTCAGTTCCATTTCTTTCATCTACACCCAAAAACTGGAATCCAAAATCATTACCAAAGAAAATAATAGCACATATACATAAATTATTTGACACAGTTCAACAACAACTGCATGATTAAACGAAAGACTAATTAAGCCCATTTTTTATTTGGTAAGACAAAATAGTACCCAGTCTCTGCTGCAATATTAGACCTCTATACTTATGTCACCTTGGTTTCATTTGCAGCCTGATCAGTTGTTAAATCAAATAAAATACTTTTCAAGGTTCCCATGTTGCACACAATAATCATTTAAAGCAACTGTAGCAACCAGAAATTTAGAAGTTCATGTAGCTATGGTTTCTTTCTGATATCAGTGTTAATTCAAATTTTGGGAAAACTGGACACGCTTAAGCACAGGTTCAGAAGTAGGAGTCTACAAGAGTTGGTTACATATAGGTAGTAGGTAGGTACATACTTTTGGAATAAATCCTTCCTTTGCTCTGTAGTCCATGGTCGACCATAAAAGCCTGAAACAATCACAAAGTCATTCAACCGCGGTCATTAGCATCATAACTGGTAATTCATTACGTTTATAATACGGCTGATATTGGTAACAAAATAAACACACACCTTCCACAACTCCACATATAAAATTCCCATTTTTCGTGTTTAAATTCTCGGAATTGGCTACCTCACTCATGTCGCCAGAGATCAGCAGTCACCGGAAAACAAGAATAGTTCCAGTAAAACCAGAACTTTCAATATCTAAATTTCTTTTTTGTATGATGTTCTGAATCTGAACTGACGAACTTGGTCAACAAAATGAAGCTGAAAGTTGCTGGCTTGCTGCAAAACTAGCCTACATTTGACATTTCTGTCATGTGTCTGTATATGTATATTCTCGGCAACCCATAATACAAGACTGTAAGCTGTGATGTCTGTAAAATGTACGACCCTCCTGTCATCAATCCGTGACTCTCCCAAGTTTTCTGCTTAAAGAGGCTGACGAATAGCTATGCCACTTCTCCTTAGGTATTCTGCCGCTAGATGCCCCCAAGGAATGCGGAGGAATGATCCGTCCAAAAGACATAGGCGTAGGCCGTAGGCTATAGGATACGAAATAGGTTGTATAATCGGTAGCAATCGTAGCAATAATGATTACGGGACGTCTTCATCATTACTTCGGTTTGAGACAATTGGAACTGCAATCGCTTAGCGCGGTTATAGGTTGCGCTTATCAAAGGGCTTTTGAAGGCGCAAAAAGATCGGCCTAAATCGATAAGAATGAATTTGCTTTAGGCTAGACTTCCCAGTTTTTTAATGAACAAGTATTATTTTATTCTTCTCCTATTTATACCAAGACTTTTTGAAAAATTTCGTTATTAACGGGGTGGATGCCATGAAGCTTTACCGATTTACTTTATAGACATCTGACGATGGAATAAACAACAAGAAGAATCTTCTGTGGTAATACTCATTCATCATTGTAAAATTGTTTTGAAGATTGCGGACTTAGCGGAGAAATACTCTTATTTTTCATCTGTTGCTTTCTTCATAAAAATTTTAATATGTGTGTCAGTAGGACAAGTCTCAAATCTCTCAAATTTCCAGTTTGGTTTAACGGTGAAATGATTAGAGATATTAAAAGAAAAAATTTACTACACAAAAAGTTTAAAAATGATAAAAGTTTGATCACATACCTACACTGAGTTCAAAGATTTAAGGATCAAACTTAAGCGCGATGAGCGTAACGCATATCAAAAATATCTAGTGGATATCCAAAGTAGCTTATCTCAGGATCCGAACAAATTCTAGTCATTTATCTGTAATAAAAGGGGCAAAACCCCACATTCAGCCAAGTAAACTATAATGGTAAGCAGTATGACAAATCCAACGAAATTGCTAATGCTTTTGCGCTATTTTTTCAATCTGCATATGCTATGCCCTCGAACGCAACAGATATCAATGTTTCGGACTTGCATACTAAGATCATACTTCAGAGCTTTTCCGAAGAAGAAGTTTATAAAGTGTTAAAGCAAATGAAAAATAAATTTACTTCCGGACCCGATGGAATCCCATCATTTTTAGTGCGTGACTATGCCTACGTCTTAACTCATTCCTTGACAAAGATCTTCAACCTATGTTTAAAGACTAACAGGTTTCCCGAAATTTGGTGTGAATCAAAGATGCGTCCCACTTTCAAGAAGGGTGATAGACTATAGGTTGAAAATTATAGACCGATAACCCTAGTATGTATTTTTTCCAAGGCCTTAGAAATTCCCAAATAAGTCCTCAGCATGGCTTTATGAAGGGTAGATCAACCATAACTAACCTAGCCTATTTTACTCAGTCAGTCTCCTCTGCATTAGATGCTAATAGTCATGTGGATGTAATTTATACAGATTTTAGTAAAACATTTGACAAACTTGATCACAAGCGAAGCTGAGCTATTTTGGATTCTCCCCAAAACGGAAAGAAGAAAGCAATATGTTGAATATGAGGGTGTCAAATCCATTGAATTCTTCCCAACGTCAGGGGTATCTCAAGGCTCCTGCTTAGGTCGTTTACTTTTCATACTGTTCATAAACCATATTGTTCGACAACAGCCACTTAATCTAAGCAGATGATCTGAAAATTTTTTTCAATGTTGACTGCAGCACTGACGGTGCTCGCTTACAAAAAGACCTAGCCAAAATAGTTAAATGGTGTGCTGTAAATCCACTTCCAATCATCTACAGTAAATGTAGTGTTATTTCTTACACCAGAAAGCTAGATATTACTGCATTTGACTACAAAATTGGCAATCATTCTCTGCTGAGAGTAAAAGAATGCAAGGACCTGGGTGTGATTTTTGACATGTCACTTAGCTTGAATCCTCATATTGAGTATCTTTTTAATGCTGTCAACAGATTATTAGGATTTGTAACGCGTCGAAAGGCGGCTCCGACGCAGTGAGTTTCAGGCCATTTACAAGGGTTTAGCTGCTTCGGAATTGACGCTCCATTTTTCTATATATTTGAATAAAATTTATACAGTATGTTCAGAAGACAATTGTCCAGGGTGCTATAGAGCCACTTTTCTAAAAAAAAAATTTGTTTCAGGAGTTATGGTGGGTGGAAGTGCAGATAATTGTTGTTCGACTTCTCGATTTTTTTAAAAATAACCCAGAGGAAAAAACGAAAAAGTGGCTCTATAGCACCCTGTGGAGTCTTGTTTTTAGTGCACTGTGAAAATTTCATTGAAAAATATTCAAAAATGAAGCGTCAATTTTGAAGCGCGAAAACCTCTGCAAATAGGCTTTTACACGAATTTTATACACTATCTCGTGCTGCCAGTCGAAGCAACGCGGCGGTGTGTAAGGACTAAGAAAGGACGTATTCAGATAATTTGTTGTCCCAAGTTAAACAGCAGCAGTTTTAACGTCGGTCGTTCGAGATAAACATCGGACCATTAAGTGATATTTTTAATAGACTTCAATGAAAGAGGGGAAATTTTTAATCGATTTTGATCATTTCTTTTTATACAATAGGCCATGCTTCAGAGGTGATACCACAAAAAATCATTTTTGTTCAATCACTCCAATATGGATATCAAATGGAAGCACTTGTACAAAACAGTAATACGAAAACAGTTTCAAATCAAGATGGCGGCCGTTACAAAATGGCGGATAACATACTTGCTAATATCTCAAATAAGAGTCGTCGCCTTGTAGAATACAGTACTTCACTAAAAATTTGATTCCAAGATTGCCGCCGTTTCGAAATTGCGAGTTACATACTTTTGTACAAAACCCCCAATTTACATATCAAATACAGAACTTTGTGACCAAAAGTTTCCAGGTGGTTCCAGGGTCATTGGAGGCGGTAATCTTTTTAGTTAAAAATAATATAGTGAACGCATTTACCACAAATAAAATGTCACTTGCTGTTTAGCTTTAACCTTATGGAGTATCGTAGAATAAACTTAACACGATAAGCGTCATGAGATATAATGCGTGTGTCGCACCTCATTTGGCGCTTTGGGCCTCGTGACACACATGATATGTCTCACTGCTGGCAGTTATATTTGGCCGCGTAACGTAAGACGTGTGCCATGCTGATGTGATTTTCTTACGGGAACCAAGAGTCCGTGGCCTGAGGGACCAAATTATACTGAATTGGAAATGAAAACATTAAAAAACACGTTGTTTATAGAGTTTTACAAAAAGAGGATATTCTACAAATCTAAAACAAAAAGCAAATCTTATAAAATAATCAGACATTCTCATTCAAAAATGAACAAAGTAATTTCACAGCAAATCAGTAAGTTATGGTAAATGTCGATATTCTAACGAACACAAATATGGAGGAACTCTTATAAACTAAACAGATTGACAAAGTCTTATGCAGGGATAAACAAAATACTGGTATAAATAAACAGTAATACAGATAATAATGGAATTACTACAACTACTATCTGATTCACTACCACTTGGAGAATACGCATCAGATAAGTATACATCCCCACATAACTCAGTACTGCCACTCTCTTCATCCGATAGTATTTCATTACACAATTGTTCAAGCCTTTTTTGCTCCGCTTCGTAATGCGACATCACAAATTTGGTATTCAATAATTTATAAACAGTAAAGCAATTTGGACAAGATGACGTACAATACCAACAACGCTTCAATAATAAATGACACGAAACAGTGCTCAACGCGCGACATGATGCAAGTCTTGACTTGCAAAAAACGCGACGCGACTTATGTGCCACGCGACCCGACTGGTCTGTGGGCCACGCGACATACAATTAGTACCTCAGAAAAAAAAATCAAAAAAGGGGAAAAATCATAGGATTTGAGAAAAAAGTCAAGTCAAAATATTAAACCGAAACTTAAAACAAGCTAATTTGACAATAATAACAGTTTGGCCCAGTGGACTGGATTTTCAGATTCTACTGTGGCGCTTAACGTGTCAATGTGACATTTCAATATTCGCCATCTAACAGACTAGATAAAGCTAGCCGATGCTACGTGCTATTGAGCCTGACGATTGACTTTTATTTAAATAAACAATATATACATAATATACAATAAATAGTGAACATCTGGTACTAGTACCAAAATGGAAAAGATTAGCATAACATCTCGCACATCGCTGCTAAAGCGAGATCTGCACACCGCATTTGCCGACACGAAGGGGTTAGTAACGGCGTACAATGTAATATGCTAATCTCTTCCATTTTGGTACCCGAGTACAGCAAAAATAGCCAATTCTCAAGAACTCTTTAATCAAATTCAAGCGGATAACCAAATGGAAATGGTATTTACCATTTTGGGTTGGTATTTACCGATCCGTTCAAGCGAGTGTAGTTATCAGTTTGGTTATAAGATCCGTGACGTCACGAATCAGCTGTTATATGTCATAGTTATCACCGCAAAATTGTGGTATTTACCCAACTCAAGAGTAGTTTTATATTTCTGGTTATTATTTGAAATGTGACAAGTTAGAATTCTGCCGGGTATTGGATATTGTTATTGTACTTCAGCTTCATTTTTGAGAAAATTGATACAGGCTGACTTCAGTTTTACCATAAAGTGGAGCACCTTATTAGTTATACTCATTTCGGTTGTTGGGGACACTTTAAATGTAGTTCCTATGCTTAACAAAGTATCCTGTGTAGCCATATACCACAAGAATATTAAAATATGGCCATATAAACTCACTAGATGATATCCACCTGTATACGGTTTTGCTAATTTCTTTTTTCATCATTTCTGCTGATTCAATAAATGTTTTCTTTGACATGCGGAAAAATTTAGAGAATTGAAAGTTATCATAGCTACAAAGCCATGGTTCCATCATTAAAAAAAAAATCTGCAAAAAACATTTCTCTCATGAATATTATGAAAGGTTTCTTATTTAAACTTTCCATATACAGTTGTAGACGAAAAAGCACCGATTATTAAGTGATAATAAAAACAATCAGAGATTATATACGCGCTTTTCTAAAATAAACAATTTGCAACAAAACCGCGGTTAAAACCAACACGTTCAAGCGATTCGTGTAACTGACGTCATCAACCCGTGTGTCATCTTGAACCATATTATAACCGCAGCACATAACACAGAAATTTTGGTTATTCGCTTGGATTTGATTTTTTTCTTGTTCAAACGGTTCTCTTGTGCCTTCAAGATGGGATCGCGGATTGGCATATTTCTGCTTTTTCTGGGATCGACCAGTTCTGGGAGCAAGCAGTTCATGTAGAAGAATTTCAATTTCTCTTCCATTTCATTTTTCCAGAAAACGTCATCCTTTCGAATGACGTCTATTTTCAAACCATACGGGGTCCAAACACCAAGCACACAGTACTCTCTTTGTGCAACGTGTAGCTGCCCTTGAATTTGGTAATACCACTTATGCTTTTTATTTATTTCATCGTTTATCCAAAACGTAATTTTTTTGTTCAGAATGCCCTCTTCAGGGGCTATTTCTCTAGCAGACCATGGACATTTAATTTCTAGCAGACCTTTTTCGCCTATCAAACCATCTGGCGATGCTGCCAGAAATGGATGGGTCCTATCAATAAACAACCCGCAAGATTGTACTTCTGATTGCGAATATGATTTCTCTATTTCTGATTTTGCCACGCTTTCATGCTTTTTTCCATAGTCACATGCATTGCTAAAGAATTCGGTTGGGTATATTATGGCGTTTACTAGAGCTCTGCAACTTGTTGTATCTCTTCTTCTACAAACCTCACCAAACCGAGACGCAGTCAACCTCATTCTTCGATGAAGACGCCACAAATTGCAATCCTGAGATTTTGTGGCTTGCTCGATCTGGGAAATTTTGGAGTCGGTTTTTGCAAGTTTTTTCAAGAATTCTACCTTGGCAGCCTCTATCGTCGTTGCTCATGTCAGGCTTCTCACAGAATTCCCCATAGGATGCGTTCTCTTTAGTATCACTATCTCTGATTTTAATTTTCCTTGGTTTCAGCTTCCTTTTCAGATTTTTGTGCGCTCTCCTTTCTTCAACTTTAGCAATCAAAGAGGTTGGACTGAAACTAGGGAGTAGCCGCTTTTGGATCACACAAACAGGTCGCTGTGTATTGTGGCTCACTACGGCTGCAGCACATCTTCCTTGGTAGGATCTCTTCTTGCAATAATTAATCCGTTTACCCCCAATGAATTTAGCTATGATTCAGTTAAACTGCTCTACAATACTATTATCGACGTCATGAAGTAAACTTACTGCATTTTTAATCAGAATTGCCAGAAATGATATCAGCCTCTGGTGCAAATCTAAAAAAAAAGGGTATACACACCTGAATTTGAAGATCCATGCCATCTGTCTCTGTTAGAGAATGCATATGCGAAACCTTGCTGTCATTTTTAAGCTAAAATAACATATAAAATATAGTTATAATAGTAACTACGTATAGTCTAATTTATTGGCAAAATGAATGCTAAAATTCATAATTGTTTTGGTACCTACTTTTCTCAACTCAACAATAACAGCACAACAATAACAACACAACAATAACAACACGATAATACAACAATACAATAACGGTAATAAGAGTAATAAGGGCTGAGTATACTATGCGCCAAAATAGGGAAACAGTCGTACGCTAGATCGTATATCCAAATCAAATCCGACTCTGTGCAATATGCAAATTCAACCAGGCACGCGAACAGCACACCTCTGCGTATTACTATCCTTTTCTAACGTAGAGCGCTTGCCTTGTCACAACGCCGTCCTACTAGCCTTTCCCTATCACCCCCCCGATTCCCCTCAGAAACTCTGCTTGACTGTGAGAGCGCGTAACAAAGATGTGATGATTGTGCTTTATAATTCATTCATACTGTCTAAATTTGAATATGGACGGCTAATATCGAACCTATGGTATGTTACAACTTGTTGCTCTCTGGAGAAGATTCAACGGAAATTTCTGAAATTTATTTCATTCAAAATTGACAGTACGTACCCACCTGTTGGGGTCCCACAGGAAGACCTGTTACGTAAGCACAAGTTTACCAGTCTTGATAACAGAAGAAAGATTCACTCGCTAATATTCCTGCATAAAGTATTGCTTAGCAGTTACGATTGTCCATCATTTCTAGCACAGATTAAATTTAATGTTCCAAAATTTGTTACTCGCAATACACTCACTTTTTACCTACCTACCCCACGAACTAACTTACTGTTGCATTCACCTTTGTACTCGATGTGTTCATGTTATAATAGTCTACAGAGTACATTTGATTTGTTCAATACAAGTATGTATTTCGAAGATTAAGATAGTTTGCAGTAAAATGATTTAGTTTTTAGTTTTCGTTGTATTTTTATGTTTTTTTACTATTTCTATTGTTGTTTTGCCACCAGTAATTGGTTAACACTGTTGGTGGTGGATTTCAATAAATAAATATGGCTATACCGTTTTATTATCATAATGACTGAGAGAATACATTTTCAGTTTTATCGTTTAAAAAACAATATTTGACAACATACATAAAGCGAAAAATAATTTTATTAATATGCTAACATCATTGAGTCATCTTTACTGGTTTACTTCTTGATGTGACTACAATCACTAGCAGCAGGCGGAAGATCGACGGGAAACGTTCCTGCAACGATCTGGTTATCCCATCTCTTCACCCACTCGTTGGGACATATTGCTCTGAACACTTTCGCAAACTGTTCACATGAAGGGTTCCTGGAACAGAAGATGCAGTTTTAGTTTGCTGGTAAAGTGGGTATTTTACAGTTCTGTAAGTAAACATTGATAAATCACTTTATACGAATTATCAATAAAAGACAAATAATAATAAGGTTATTGTTTCTATCCTGATTGTTTCATTTTTACACATAACCTGCTTATTGGTGCATTTAAATTATATAAACTATGGCATAATTACAATTCCGCTTTTTTATAAATCTTATAAGTCAAAATCATTTGCAGCTAAATAAGCTAACTTTAATCCAAACGAGATGGTGGTGGATTGATAAAAGGGGGAAGCGTAGCGAATCCTGCGGTCTCCGCGCCCGCATTTGAGGGCCCCGCGCAAAAACGCTTTGTGAAAGTTTCTCTCCTTGGGAAAGAGCACTGATGCATTGATGCAAACGTCACCTTCTCCCAATTTTCAATCACTGACCGCTCTCAGGAGCTCTGCAGCTCTGATCATGCTGTTTCCGCCACACCCCTCCCCCTGCCGTTCTTGAGTTTTCAATCGCCAAGCAATTAGTTTTCCGTATACAGAGAAATCCAAATATCACTGATTAGGTAATGTGTACGAGAGAGGAGCGTTCAATACGTATGTTGGAAAGAGTGCAAGGTGGTGCTTCCATCTATGTCTAACGTAGTACGCTGTATAACGCTTCCCTCCCGTACACATTACGATTTCAGTGGTATAATATGGGTTTCTCCGTATATACCGAATATACCCTATATTATATGCTAATATAGTTGGCGACAGCGCCATCTATGAGCCACTAAGCTTTTCATTGCAGATTTCTAATTAGTGCGTAGAAGAGAAACGTAGCTGTGGCAAATTCTCATAGATGACGCCTCGGAATCACATTTCACCACAGATAACTTCTCGGACGCGGAATGTGTGAGGTTGGCTGTCTACAGGTAGAATAATATGTTAGTCAATTGATTATTATACTCGTAAAGCACTGTTATTTAATTGTCATTTACGCGCACTAGGCTATGTGGAAGTTATTCTAGCGCAAGGAATATTGCCTAACTAACAATTATCACTCCTATTAGAGTTGCAAGAACGATTATACATTCTTCCTTACACGGCATTGTATGCTGTAAGAACATTGGCAAAACGCTCTTAGAACAGCTATACAAGCGGAATAGGACACTTCAGTCATTTCAGAGGTTGTATAAGGGCTGCAGGTAACAGTTATACAACAAAAGTGTAAACCTCTTGCAGCCGCTATAGAACAGTTTTTGTCAACTATACAACTATTCTGTTACATAATTATACTTTATTGCAACCAAACTATTTCTTATATATTGTATAGGTATAGGTGTATGGTATGCTATATATAGAAGCTATTGGGACAGGCGAAGCCTACAGCTTGTTATTATCCATTAAGCAACAATAAAGTTGGCAACCTCAAGATTAATAATTGGCAGCCGAGTTTTAGAGCATTTGAAATGGCCATATTAGCAGACAGGCAAATCAAGATTAGAAAGCTTCTCCCAGCATGAATGCTAAGCTTTGATCTCGTCTTTACCAAATAGGTAAAAAATAAAAGATAAGTAGGGGAAGGTGGGGCAAGGTGGTGTAACGAGGCAAGATGGGGTACGTGTATTATTTCGCCAATCCAAGGTGTTAAATTCGAGAACTACACATGAAACGACGCCAACGTGTTGCTTATTTCAGTAGCTTCTGTATCGTCATTGCAGTAGTTCGTGCTTTTACGACAGCGCGGAATCACGTGTTTTTTAAGGTTACGTTATTATTTTCGCATTTGTTTACAAGCGTGAAACTGTTACAAAATATTTGTATGCAGTGCTAAGTTTGGGTACTGAGGAAGCTTTTGACAAAATTAAGGTGAGCTTTTGTTTTTTTAAATAACAAGATTATTTTTTGTTGCTTTTATTTTTTTATATAATGCAGGAAGGGGCGTGATGGGGTATCACTCATGGGGCAAGATAGGGTGGAACCGATTAAGATGTATCCAATATTTTTTACATTTCAGAATGGTGCGAAATTACGTTCGTAAAACCGATAGAGGGGGTTGGACGGAAGAGCAGATGAAGAATGCTGTTTTAGCTGTAGTGGAAAATAAAATGGGTTATTACTTAGCTGCAAAATCTTTTGAAGTTCCTCAAACTACGTTGGAACGAAAAGTAAAATTGGCTAAGGAAAATATGGACAATTTACAAAAACTAAAAGCACCTCTGGGTTCAAAATCTGGCCATATGATCCTAATGTCTTCACTGAAGACGATTTTATCGCTTCTGAGACCACTAATATAAATTTAGTACAGGATCAATTACCCCAAGCTAATATTCTCCAAAATCCAGCCGAAAGTACAAACCCAAGATTAAATGAGAGCAATCCTAATACATCGACGCAATCATCAAGTACACAGTCTCAGTCCTCCAGTCCTCAGCCAGGTTGTTCATTTTGGAAAGCAAGTCGAGAGGAACATCGATAGACAAATGAAGAAATAAGAAAAACAGAAAATAATTGGAAAAACAAAAACTGAATAAAAAAAACAGCAAAATCAGATAAGACAAAAAGCAAAGCGTCCCAGACATGAGTCAACTGACGAAAGCGACGATGAGGACGACACCTCATGTCTCTATTGCAGTGGATTATATTCAGAATCTGTAGAAGGCTGGATGAACTGTATAAAGTGTAATAAATGGGCGCATTGCGGTTGCGCAGACGTTGAGGATGATGACGATGAAGCCATGCACGTCTGTTTATTGTGTAAACCCATAAATAGTTTTTTTGGTACCATGAGCTTCAGTCCCTTTAAGTTTTATTAGGCAATCCAATTTTATTTTAGTTAAATGTTGTTTAAGTCTTTTCATTTTGACATTATATTATAAACCCCATCTTACCCCACCTATGGGGCAAGACGGGGACAATCTCACTTTTTCAGTTTTCCCAGTTTTAAAAAAAATTAATAAATTTTTAATTTGTTTTCGGCTATTATTTATGCACTTATAACCAATGAATACCATAAAATAATAATATAATAAAAAATATTCCAAAAAAGTACGAATTTGAGCTATAACTGCAAATCAATCCTTAGCTACCCCATCTTGCCCCACCTTCCCCTAAGCCCATACTGGAAAATCATCTGTACACATAGTTCTCTACAATATCGTTTGAAGGAAAGAGATTCTATTTTCCAGTCCACGTCTATCAAATATAAACGTCTATATTACTTAGATAAATAATAGTTACGTACCCTTCTCCAAGAAGTCGATTACATTTTTTATGGTCAACATAGGCCGAAAAACACCAAGCTGTTGCGTTGCAATTATGATGTCTCGCATCTTGGGGTACTGTCGATATCTCTGTATACTGCTTCTTACTCATTTTATCAATCCCTTTACTGTCATTGTCTAACAAAAATTTTGGGACAAGGTGACGTCTACGGTAGATTTTGTCATTTCATTTCTCAAATGACGACGTGTGGCTTATTTATTGCAAAGTCGGGTAGTTTTTTTCAGAATAGTGAGACATCAAAACACTCTAAGCGAAATCAAGTGTAGGGAAAACGGTTTTGGGTTGAGATTTTGTTCCACAGATACTTTCAAACCAATTTTTCAGAAAGTACCGTTTTCCAGAAGCGTTTATAGAAAAGGAAACAGAAAGGACTTAATTTTCGCAAAATCGTTTTTTTTTACTTAACGTTAGGGGGATTTCAAAAGTAAATTGCATATTAGCATTATCCTTTTTTTTATCCACAATCGTCAACTTTATTTTTCCAGGACATCATCTGTGGACGTCATATTTTGTTTTTGCATAGATAATATGAAAAATTTATCATTATCTTCATTCCTTCCTTTGTTCGACGTATTAATAACATCAACTATAGAAAGATTTAGACGTTCTATAATAACAGCAAGCAAACAAATTCCTATCTGGTAATTTCAACGCCCATAATACTGTTTTTTTTTTATAAAATTGTTGATTTAAGATATTAATCTGACATACACATTTGATATAAGAATTAACAGACTCTATTCATCTGTGCAAAAGTCCAATATGGCGTCCATAAGGAAATATAAAGTTGAAGTTTGACGAAAGACGACATGTCAGATGAAATTTTAATTAAGCCACCTTCTAGAGGCGAAGAAACGGTAAAGTTAATGTACCATTTATTTTAAAGTCACACCTCAACTGAAGTGACGAAAAAACGGCGGTTTTGTGAAAATTCTGTTTTTTCGTCTTTCTCCGTACCGGAATTGTGCCATTTTCTTAGTTATCCAAATGCGTAGCTTTGACCCCATTTAATCAACTTGGCATCTCTTACCGTTTCAGGCATCCCAATGGTGAGGCTCGAGTTTGATACTCCTGGTGTATTCCTACTCCAAGGATTAAAAATAGATATGTTGCAGCCCAAAGATTCAATATACTTAAGACTAAACTATAAAGAGAACATCCAAAAATTCTTACATAGGTGCAGTATGGAAGAAAACTCGTGTCTTGGTTTAATCGTGTGCGTAGATCACGAAGGTACAAACTTCCGTTTTCATTTTCACACATGGTTACTACTATCCAAAGCTTTATAGTTTTTGAAAATCGCTTCAATGGCAGCGGAGAAAAAGTATTAACATATTGATATCAGTATAATAATACACTTCTAACAATGATAATATTATAAGCACCTTTTAGACATATTTGACACATCATAGATTGGCCCGTACAATTGCTCTTGAAACTTGTGACGATAGAAAAATGTTTTAGACAAGCCTCACTGCCTCTGCTGACTTTCAGCGGCCGCGGCCAATGTGTTGGTGATTGTATGTGACGAGCATTACTGGGCGCTCTGCCGCGTGTGACGCATCATGCTTCCATATATTGAGGATAGGCGGCGCGACGTTGCCAGATGGAGGGTACTTCAGGTACGGTACACCGGCAGGGGTATCACGTAACTTGAAAAGTGACATTATGCCGATTTTTTTTGACATTATGCTGTTTTTTTTTTGACATTATGTAGGTTATTCTACAACATATTAACTTAACACTTAGCTGTACGTGTTGCCTAAACGTTATGAGGCTTGTTATCAATCTTTGATTCTGATGTGATGTAAAATCTGCTTCTGAGATGGCATTACTAGAGGTCTAAGCTGTAAGTTGTATGTGTTGATGATGATTACACTGGGTACTTCTCTCAAATACACTTAATTGAGATTCAAAGCTAGAAATTACTTGCGCATCCACTTTTTCTTATCCATTCTGGAAATTACATAAGTATACAAATTTGCTGAATTTCAAAAATGAGAGAGATAAGAAATAATTATAATCACGGTACACTGTCGAATTACAAGCCATATACACGCTAACAGTAGTTACACACAACGCGGGCGCGGTGATGATTTCCCGTAATTCTCAACTTCAAACATAACCTCTCTTCAGAAAGCACACCATATATATAACCCGTCATATTCGGCATATTCAGTAATGATTTTCTCACACAGCAAATATCACTGAGGTTATACACATGCAGACCAATATACATAATCATCCAGATGCGATCTTGCTATTCAACCAACTTTCTTCTCAGAGATAAGAACTAGAGACCCGGATCACTCAGCCTCACAAAACTATGCAACCAATAATACGTAGTTTACTTGAGTGATTCCCCCATAGATGGACGGTCACAATGATCCTAGTGAGCAAACGTGGAATGACTGTTTGCGCCCTAAAAACTACCTAGTCTGCAAGTTGACATCTTATAGTTTTTTTTTTGATGTTTTATAGATTTTTGACATGATACCCGTGCGGATCTTTTTTCTTAGAGGGTCTAACTTTCGTCCGTCGAACCATAGACAGCCAACCTCACATATCTGTTTCGTGCAATTCATCACGATGGTCTCTGGGACAATGACCGAAAGCATAGCAGCTATGATCAATCTATCCAGGATATAAGGTCTATAGCGGTGTTTCGTTTCGATACGGTCTAGCTTATTGAACTGATAATACTATTCGTCATTTGTTTGTCTGGGCGGTCCGTAGGACCTTTGCCCATTAGTCAATTTGAACTGATGTCGGCGTTGCTTGGGATGTGTAAAGTCACCTGGTCGACTTTATTTTTTCAAAGGCGGATGTCGGGCAAGCTAAATTTATGAAACTGATTTTAGAGGAAGTTTGCGTTAAATGCTGATTATGAAAATATTTTGTTGCGTTGACTAAGTCTTTATTTTATTCCATGAACTATTTTCATTACTTCAGTCTTGAAGTTTAACCGGCCTTTTGTCAGAAATTCGCTTTGAGATGCTTAACGCAACGCAGCTTCTCGCAAGCATTTCAGTTCCAATGCCATAACCTTACGGACATTATAAACTTTTAAGACACAGAAATGCCAGTACAAAGCAGATAGGTTTTTCGGCAAGTATACTTCATTAAACAAACAGAAAACAACTTCATTCAGAACAATACGGCGTACATTAAATTCCCCAGCGAAGTTTGAAGTTGACGAAAATACCAAGTCAACTTCCAGAAGTTTTTAAGTTTTAATTCTGAACTACGTGGCACCAGATATTTGTTATCTTTTTCTTTCGCCACGGCTCAACTAAATTCTCTTGGAAGTTGTGTTAGAAATATTGGTAGGAAAAAAGTTTTATTTCTTTTTAAATTACGTTAGACCTTAGTGTTTAGGGTGGAGGAAGAAGACCGTAAGAAAGTAGTGATGAGAGTTGAGAACCTAAGTTTCCTCGCTAGGAAAATCATATCAGACTAATCCATCTTTTTTAGAGAAGTGTAGTACGGGAATAAGAGTACTTAGGGTACGTTCAACAAGTTGCAGCCTCATGTGCCGGGAGCATGTTGCACAGCATCAGAACGCTTAGCGCATTTTGTGCGAGATGTCCATGGCGCATTTAATTTGATATCTGCAACATTTTATACGTATAGGAGTGCTGGGCACCTGTTGCAGGCTGAACTGTCTGTGGCGTGCTCAATTTTATACCTCTCTGCGTTTACTTATTGCCCTAGGAAGTTTGCATCCTATTATCTGCCTGCCTGTACTTTCTCCCTAGCGACCTCCTCTTCGACGTACGCTCACGGATATCCTCGATGGATGGCCTCGTAGGGGTGGTAGATTCAATCCGTGATGACTGCGCCACTTAAATTTACGAAATCTTACTTCCTAATGAACTTAAGTATTTTAACTTTTAAGTAACAATGCAAAGATACAATACTTCAACTGTATAGTAAGATAATATATACGAGTATATCGTTAAAGGTAACTATATCTCAAGTCTGTCCGGCCGTTCTTCACTCGGTTCAGCACATTCCTATTGTGGCGTGATGCCGTGCCTTGTTCTATTACAAGGGATTTCTAGCAACATAGCTTTTGTTAGGTACAGATACAAGCGTTCCTCGTAGTTTATGCCTTGTGTGGTGATTGAGTTTGATCTTTCGATCGTTACTAACATTTTTGTGATAGTTGGTGATATCATGTAGATAAAGTTGTTTCATAACATGTACGTGTACATCTTTGTATAAGACATTAGTGACATACGATTCTGCTAATAATTGCTTTTAGAATGTTTTTTTGGAATATTTCCAAATCATAAATATGCATTGAGCATGTAGCTCTCCATGCCCATATACAGTAGGTTAATTAAATGTGGTGCGATGCAGGTATGGTATGACGTGTAGAGATATTTTCCTTTTAGAATGTTCTTTTTAGTCTTATATGAGTCAAATCTATCTTTTTAAAATACATGAAAGAAGAACTTTGGGCCATCGCAAAGTCTAGAAGTACTTGCACATATGATCTTAATAATTTGAATCCGCTTATGATACCTAACTGTAGATAATTCTAGTATCCGAAATTCACAAAGCATTGGGGTTACTGGTATGGAACTAACAAATTAACAAATTCCTTACTTTCAATAACGCTCATCGATATAGGCCATCAGCAATTGGCGTGCCGAGAATTTAACAATATAGCTTCGAAAAAGGTATTTAATCGAGAATTAGAACTCCAAACCTTCGAGCCTGAAAAGTTATACTGTATGAATACTTTAGGTTCATGCCATGAACTGATTTTTTATTTCATAAAGCGAACAAGTTATCAGATACAATAAATCTGCATGCTTTCATATGACATCTATCTATCAAGTCGATGTAGTTTGCAGAAGCATTCGATTGGTATAAGAACTGAATAATACGTTGCTACCCAAGCTATTGATATGAATTGCTGCAGAATAAGCTTAACCAGAACGCCAAAGCCAGACCGGCACAGGTATTATGTAAAAGACCTATAAAATGTCAAAAAACCTATAAAATGTCATCTTGCAGACAAGGTAGCTTTTAGGGTGCAAACAGTCATTCCACGTTTGCTCACTAGGATCGTTGTGAGCGTCCATCAGTGGAGGGATGACTCAACTACACGCATTGTTGGTTGCATATGTTATGTGAAGCCGAGTAGTCTGTAGTTTTCATCTCTGACAAGAAAGTTG